CCTAATGGTCAGGGGTCCCTTTACCTTTACCATTTAACCTAGCAGCCCAAAGCAGGCAATGGGGGCGAAGAATCGAGTCAAAATGATGAGCAAGGGTTTCCCAATCATTTGCCCTAAGCTTCGGTTCTAAGCAAAAACCATCCACAAAGTTATCATGCTGTAAGAGGCAGAGAGATCACCTTTTAGGTTTCATATGTAATATACACTTGCATGTAATGCTAACTCTGCCCATGTGCTGCTTTATTAGGGCTGTCACTAGATTAAATAAATGCTGGTTGATTAAACTTGCATAAGCATGAAATTAATAGTTTCTGGATCAGGCTACTGAGGAGGGCTTACTAATTTCAGTGGGACTTCACAACCAAGCAATGCTGCAGAATTGCAGCTTATTTGGAGATATTCCATGTGCTGATTGTCCTTTTTCCTCGCCAAGCCAACTACTCAATACAGAGCAGCAATGCCTCCAAGCACATGGGATACCTTTTGAACATCTGTTCCTGTTCTGCTGCCCAAGAACAAAGGATGGCAGGTACCAACCTTGAAATGTGGAGAGAGAAGGGGGAAATGACTTTTCTACAGTGATAGGAAGGGGGATAGCCTTCCGTTGATTAAACTGCAGCTCTACTTCAGAGACTCATCTTTCATAAGCAAAATATATTACACATCTAAAAAAATTTCTTCACTGTTTGGTTTTCAGGGCTGGCTCTACCATTAGGCAAAGGCACCTGCCTAAGGCAGCAGATGCTTTGATTTCACTTGTAGTATAACAATTACCATGGAAAATATGGATTGAAATAATAGAGTTTGGAGAAGATGCTGTTTTAAATGATTAAAATGGGACTCCAGGGAAGGAGTGGGGGGAAATCCTGAGATTCGGAGGAATCATATGTATATGTAATTGATTTTTAAAAATAATTTTGTACTGTAAAAACCATATAAAAAGGTAAAGGTACCCCTGCCCGTACGGGCCAGTCTTGACAGACTCTAGGGTTGTGCGCCCATCTCACTCAAGAGGCCGGGGGCCAGCGCTGTCCGCAGACACTTCCGGGTCACGTGGCCAGCGTGACGAAGCTGCTCTAACGAGCCAGCGCAGCACACGGAAACACCGTTTACCTTCCCGCTAGTAAGCGGTCCCTATTTATCTACTTGCACCCGGAGGTGCTTTCGAACTGCTAGGTTGGCAGGCGCTGGGACCGAGCAACGGGAGCGCACCCCGCCGCGGAGATTCGAACCGCCGACCTTTCGATCGGCAAGCCCTAGGCGCTGAGGCTTTTACCCACAGCGCCACCCGCGTCCCGTAAAAACCAAATAAAAAGATTTTAAAAGGGGGGGCAGCAGATGCTGTGGATAGGGGCAACAGCAGTAGCCCCAACCCCAACTCTTCCTTTTGAGCCTAGATAGGATCAGGTTGTACATGTAATTTATTCATGGATAAATGTATGCCCTCCCCCAAAAAGAAGGAAGAACACAGTGTGCCTATTCATAGGATATAATTAGTCACCAACCTACCTTTTTAGGGTTTTTTGGGGGGGGAGTTTTGGGTCCCGTCCCCCCTCTGAACATCTCTTTCCCCCCTTCCAAGGATCAGTCCATCCCATTGAAAGACTGGATGCACATCTTTTGCTTTCCCAAGTCAGATCCAGTATAGTTAATCAGCCTGGAAAAGTAGATAGAACTGAAAGAGGAAATCAGAAAAAGTGTCTCTTTGAACTTCCTCCTCCATCTCTATTCAAGGGAAGGAAAAGGTAACCAGCTTCATGACCAAGAGAGCAGGAAGTGCAGTCAGGGGGTCAGAGGCTTAATGGATGCTAGGAGAAGACCTTAAAGGAACAATGTTGGCAGTCCATGGGATATACAGGTGAAACTCGAAAAATTAAAATATCATGGAAAAGTTCATTTATTTCAGTAATTCAACTGAATTCAAACTAATATAGGAGATAGACTCATGACATGCAAAGTGAGATATATCAAGCCTTTATTTGTTATAATTGGGATGATTATGGCGTACAGCTGATGAAAACCCCAAATTAACAATCTCAAAATTAGAATATTGTGAAAAGCTGCAGTAGCTATTCAATCCATAACACCTGCAATGGGTTCCTGAGCCTTTAAATGGTCTCTCTGTCTGGTTCAGTAGGAAGCACAATCATGGGGAAGGCTGCTGACCTGACAGTTGAGCAGAAAGCCATAATTGAAACCCTCTATAAGGAGGGAAAGGTTTTAATCAGCTGTACACCATAATCATAACCTCTTAAGTTGAATTACTGAAATAAATGAACTTTTCCATGATATTCTAATTTTCCGAGTTTCACCTGTATACCTTATACTATATAATTCTCTGACTCTACCTCAATACTTTGGGCTAGCCAAATCTTTACTCCTATGGGAAAGGAAGACAGGTGCAAAAGCAGTCTTGATGTTTGCTATACTTATTGATATGAAATTTTCCTTTAAAGCCAATTTTTTGACTTTTTTTAGCCGGGGGGGGGCGCCATTTGCTTCCCCACCTTAGGTAGGAAAATGTCTCCATTCAGCCTTATTTTAGACTGTGAGCAGGGTGTTCTAGACTGGTCACTGGGAGCAGCCACCAAGACCATATAACACTGGTCCTGAAAGACCTACATTGGCTCCCAGTATGTTTCTGAGAACAATTCAAAGTGTTGGTGCTGACCTTTAAAGCCCTAAACGGCCTCGTTCCTGTATACCTGAAGGAGCATCTCCACCCCCACCGTTCAGCCCGGACACTGAGATCCAGCTCTGAGTGCCTTCTGGAGGTTCCCACACTGCAAGAAATGAAGCTACAGGGAAACAGCAGAGAGCCTTCTTGGTAGTGGCGCCCGCCCTGTGGAACACCCCTCCCAACAAATGTTAAGGATATGAGTGCAGTGGACGCTCAGGTTGCGAGCGGGAGGCATGTTCGCAACCCGCAGTGCCGCGTCTGCGCATGCGTGGGTTGCGATTTGGTGCTTATGCGCATGCGCAAAGCGCGTTTTAGTGTTTCTGCGTGAGCGTCGAAACCTGGAAGTAACCCGTTCCGGTACTTCTGGGCTCGGTGCGCTGCGCAACCTGAAAACACACAACCTGGAGCGTCTGTAACCTGAGGTATGACTGTAATTATATAAGGTTAGGTTGCTGAAATGAAAACTAAGAAAGAATGGACTGTGTGTGTGTGTAAGGACTTTTGAATTCAGGTTGGTTCTGGTACTAAAAACAAATCCCTAGGCTAGGCTCAGAGGCAACTCTCTTCTTTAATTCCAATGTGTGTCTTTTGTGCCTGGTTTTGACTGGTCGGGGTTCCAGGAGAAAAGCAGCAAAGTCGATTTGACAAGCCTGAAGTTCGCCCACTCCTGTACAGTGCTAAAAAGTCCGTTCTGCTTAAAGGAATGTCTGAAATAACACAGCTAGAATGCGTGGGTCAGGTTTTGCGGCAGTCTCTACCGCCAATCATGTTCTCAGCTAACACTATTAGGACATGCGGCAGCGCGCAGCCTGTAAGCTCTCGCCCACTCATTTGCCACATAAGCACTTTGCGGAAGCTCCTTGGGGGGCCGACTTGCTTTAAATAGAGCAGCATGCTTGGCTCAGCGGCTTCCAGTACTACTACGTAAAAGACTACAATACCCAGCACCCACAGTTACTTTCTCAAGTTTTAGTCGGAGCTTGACGGGAAGGAGGCACTACAAACCCCTAGGAGTCAGAAAACACATGCAGCGAATGTTGTGATCTTCCAGTCCGTTCCATAGATAAGGCTGCAATTGCAAACTCTGTATTGCTTGAAGGAGTGGTGCGAGAGTTTTTAATCTAGCTTAATTAGAAAATTAATTAGAAAATTAGAAAACTATCTCCCCCCACCCGGAATCTTGCGTTCCCAGAGCGAAAGTGATCTCTTACTGATCTGGAGGTCAAATCTGATGATTCAGGCCACAGTTTCAAAAAGGAGAGGATTTTATGGCGCTGCAATTCATTCACTTTTATGATTCAGGAAGAGTACGCGGAATGAAGCAACCTTTAAGCCTGAGATGGTAAAGCGGCGCCCCTCTAGGTACTCTTGGACTCCAACTCCCATCAGCCCCAGCCAGCATGGTCAATGAAAGGAGTTATGGGTCAACAACGTCTGGGAGAGGGGGGCACCGGGTCCCCACGCCTGCTTTATGCAAAGAAGCACAATACGTATCTGCGGACCTGTTGGTCGGTGCCGTAGCATTCAATAAAAGGAGGACGTGGGTTCTACTTAGAGCAAAACTGGGATTCCAGAGAAATAATTCCTATCTCAAATAATGGTTGTTTATTAAGGAATCCTGCCATCCAGTTTCTTCATTCGTCCAAAACTTAACCGCGAAATAACAGATACCAATATTATACAATGCTGGGCTGTCCCCTCTGTTTCCTTCCCCGCCCTAAATCTACTCCAGACTCCGAAAACAGTTTATTCAGCTCGTTGCACCCGCTATCTTTAAGAGGAACGGAACACAGGGTGCAATTCTGCGTAAGCAAAGCCTCGCCCTTCACTGGTCTTCTCAGCTGAGAAAGAAAAACAAGCATGTCCACCTGGGACCTCCCGCGAGGGCCAACCTTGGGGACCCGACAGGAATAGTTTCCTCCCAGCTCACACGCTCCGCATTCCCCGCTGCGCGGAGCCCCACTACCTCCCTCCCCGCGCGTCCTCCGGCGCGGCTGCGGCCGGGAGTCCCAGGGTTTCTGGTTGGAAAGCGCGTGGCGGCAGAGCTGTCACTTCCCCTGAGAGCGCAGCATGCTGGGAAATGTAGTCTCGCCTCCTTCGCAAAGCGGAAGGGAGGGAAAGCGAGAGCGAGCTGGAGACTCCGACGGGCCGCCTAAGTGACAGCCGCGGGGCATGCCGGGAGGAGTAGTCCCGCCGGCCGGAGAAGCCGGGATTGGCGGCGCGCTCCGCGCTGGGCGGCGCTATAAATAGCTGCGAGAGGCCTGGTTGGCTCCTCCTCCTCCCCCCCCCACGCCGTCGCGTGGTGCCGTCACTTCCTTCCCGGCCGGAGCTGGCCCCGCTCATTCTCTTTAGTGTTTGCCCTGTGTCTGCCGCCGCCGCGACTCGCTCGCCTTCCCCCCCCTTTCCCCGGACCCCCCCCTCTTCGGCCTGCCAGCTGCCCATGGACTGAGCCGCCCCACGGCCCGCCCGCCAAGACGAGCCGGCCCGGGAGCCGCAGCCCAAAACAACCGCCAGGTGAGGGGCGGAGAAGCAGCGGGCGGGTGGGCAGCCAGGCAAGGCGGGCGTCCCTCCCAGCCGCCCCCCGCCCGCCACTCCTACCGCGGCGCTGGGATATGTGGGAGGGGAGAGGCCTCGGCCGGGCCTGCGCTTGGGGTTGGGCCTGTGGACGGGGCGCGGGAGACGAGGCTCGGGCCCCTCAGGCGGCGGCCCGGGTGGGGGGCGCGGGTGGGCTGCTGGCAGGTGGGGGGCTCGAGGCTGCAAGGCTCTGCCTCCTGTTATTTAGGGGAAGGGGTCCGTGGGGAGCTGGCTTGAAGACCCACCACTCCCCCGTTCTTTCGACTTCGACCCGCCTTCCCTCCTGTCCGTCCCGGGCTCTTCCCGCCGCCGGCTCGCTCTGCCTCCTTGTTCTCCTCGTGTCCTGCTCGTGGGCACCTGTGAGAGAGCAGGAGGCCGGGCTTGGGGGGCCTTTCCACCCCCCCCACCCCGTGGCCTGATCCTGCAAGGGTCGCCTTACGTTTTCCACTTGGCCGGCGCTCCTGTTAACAGGGATCTTCGCCGCGCGCATAGCAAAGTTCGTGGCGGGCAGGAAGAGCGTAGGAAGGGAAGGTTGCGTTCTGGCTATCCCGAATTACCTGTGCAAAAAAAGGGGGAACGGGGTAACTGGTGACAAATCTCTGCACAATGGGCTGCAGTAGTACACGTCTCTGCCCCAGCTCTTCATCTTGCCTTTCTTGATCGGGTGAGATTGTGCAGCCTGCTCAACGTTTCTTGATAGTCATGTGCATCGTGTTCTTAATATTTACATGCCTTGCCGAGTTCCCTGATGTTCTCGTCTTGTACCTGTGTGAGGCAGGTGGTAATGCTTCTCTATCCTGGGTTGTGTCAGTTGCAGGGCATGTGCTTTCTCATTTCTCTGGTCAAGAAAATAACGCTGGAGTGTAGAGCCTGTAATTTACTGTATTTTTCGTCCCATAGGACGCACCTAATTTTTTTTGGGGGGGGGAATAAAGGAAAAATCTCCCGCAGGCGTCCCCACGCTGCGGATGTCTTCCTGGCACGCCGGGTGCTCTGCTTCAGGGCATCCTGCGTGTCGGGCGGCAGGCTGCTATCCGCAGCGTGGGGAGCCCTGCGGGAACTCCCGCGGGCTCCCCAGGCTTGCTGATAGCTTCCTGAAGCCTGGAGAGCGAGAGGGGTCGGTGCGCACCGACCCCTCTCGCTCTCCAAGCTTCAGCGAAAGCCTGTATTCGCCCCATAGGACGCACACACATTTCCCCTTCATTTTTGGAGGGGGAAAAGTGCGTCCTATAGGGCGAAAAATATGGTAAATCCTGTAGTGTTTACTGGATCACACTTTAGTTGCTTCAGGCTTCTCCCAAGACTTGCTTTCTCCAAGATAGCCTTGGAATATTGCTGTCAAGTTTCAGTTTAATTGGAGGGAAAGTCTTTTGTGTTCTCGCTTACAAACATAATGCTTTCATCTCCTAATGGAAGTAATGAATGGCTTAATGGCTCTAATGGTTTAATCTTTTTCCACTATATATGCCCGCAAACTTAATTGGTCTCCTGTCGTTTAGCAATATGAGCAAGCTTTTGATGTGTACTCTTTTCCACTTCAGCCTGGAACCAGAACCACTTCTGAAACTTAAATAGTTTTGTATTTGCATATGTTGCTTCATCTTTGGTGATATGAATTTTTCATTTTATTTCAAAGCATTTATATACCACTTACTACTTCAGTGTGCAGCAGTGTGCAGTCTAAAAAAGAAAACAATATATCTTTAATACATTAAAACAGAACCTGAAACTAGTAAAACAGCATTATAAAAATGCATAAAAGCAAATTCAGAAGATTCAAATATGTGAAGCAAAGTCAGGGGAAGCCAGGGTGAAAAGATACGTTTTCACAAGACTTCTGCAGCAACTGATGGTTGCTGCTTCACATACAGCAGAAGGAAGGGCACTCTGCATGCCTGTTTTTGGGTCACCACCACATGATATTCTGTAGGATGCAGTGCCACAAGTTGAATTTCCTGAGATGATCTAAGAACAGTGGCAGGTAGTCTTTTAGGGTTTTATATATTAACAGGACCCTGAACATGCTCTGGTACTGATTGGCAACCGGTGCAGTTCATTCAGTTCAGGTGTAATATGTGCACATCTTGGTGCTCCACTCAGCCTGGCCACAGCATTCTTCACCAGCTGCAGGTTTTGGACCATTCCCAAAGGGAGCCCCACATAGAGCACATTACAGTAGCCACGTGAATCACAGTAGCTAACCCTGTCCAGGAAAGAGCATAGTTGGCATATCAGCCTAACACTGTGCCCCAATTTGATGAGTGCTTCTAGTGGTTTCATATAGTTCCATCAGTACGCCCATGAAAGGGGCAGGTTCATCATTTGGGGGTGTTCCTGGATTCAGTACTGTCACTGGAGGCTCAGGAGGGCTCAGTAGCTGCTTTTGCCTTTTCTCAGCTCTGGCAGATTCACTTTAGGACAGAGAAGATTTGACTACAGTATTCCATGCCCTGATAACTTCCAGAATGGATTATTTCAACATGCTTTACATGGGGCTTCCCTTGGAGATGACTTGGAAACTTCAGTTGGTCCAAAGTGCAGCAGCTGGAGGTTCCGTTTAGATCTCCTATAACCCCTCTTTTAAAACAGCTGCACTGGTTACTAGTTCATTTCCCAGCACAATTCAAAGTTCTCTCAAGCCCTATTCAACTTCATTTGGGCCCCAAATATCTGAAAGACCACCTCCTTCCCTACAGACCCTCTTGCATGCTGAGACCAGCAGAAGGGACACTCTTGGAAGTTCCTGCAGGTGACAGCCAGGAGAGGGCGTTCCTTCCCTACAGACCCTCTTGCATGCTGAGACCAGCAGAAGGGACACTCCTGGAAGTTCCTGCAGGTGACAGCCAGGAGAGGGCATTCCCTGTGGTGGCTTCTAAACCCTGGAATTCCCTCCCCACAGAGTTATGTCTGGCACCTCCATTATGCACCTTCCAAAATGCTGTATAATGGAGGTGTGGATCTTTAGGACCCACCTTATTTTTATTATTGCAACTTTAAACTGTTTTTAATATTGTGCTTTAATGTTCTAACCTGCCCTGGAACCTTAGAGTGAAGGGTGGGTAATAAAAAAATATTAATAATACTAAACAGGGGGCAGATACATAATCTCCCAATCCAGTTCTCTGAATCAGTCCTGGTGAGTAGGAATTATAGCGAACAATACTTTGTCACAGCCACATTGTCGCACTTTAGTATATGCTTGAGAACTTGAAAATATTTTAATACTGTGGGTTTCATGGAATCGTAAAGCTAAATCCTGTAGAAGTTAACTGGTAGTCAAGAGACCAATGCGATTTTTGATATATTTAAACTATCAGTCTGGTTGTTTTAAGTTATGTTCTAAATAGTGCTGTATGGTGACCCTTGATCAAATAGATATTTGACACTGCACCAGAATGTTTAACATTTTTTATTAAATTCAGCTTTGCTAGACTGTATTCTGTGCTATATATTATCAGACATTCATACCTGACTAGTAAGATGCTCTCTCAGATTAAAGCTTCAATCTTAATAACTCTTACTAGGAAATGTCGTATAGAACTTAGTGATACTTAATGCATGATAGGACTGTGAAAGGAGAAGGAAGTGATCTCTAAGTGAATTTACGCTTTTGTGACACTAGTAAAGTCATGTTCCAAAGACTTACTGGGGGATGATTAATGCATGGCCTGTATATCCCTTGATTACACAACATCTGACAAACAACTGCTAAGGGTGTGAACTGAATCTGTTGAAAAACATTGTTTAGGAGTAAATACAGATCTATCTGTGATGGCTTATTTATACATGTTGTGTGAAGCTGCAGTCAGCACGTAATAAATGCAAATGTGTGAACTTGTTTGTAAAACCTAGGCTAACATTGGTTTTAGGCATATGCAACAGTGTCTGAAGTGCAGTGTGAAGAATTTGTCCCTACCAGTTGCTCTGCTGCTTAGCAAAACTCTTAAGTAAACTGAAAGCGGTTGCAGGAACAAACTGAAGTGGGGCCATAGAGGATATTCCTTTGACACTTCCTTGAGTAGTATACCATGGGATGATCCATAACATCAAAATTAGGATGGTGGAGGTATGGCCTCGTGCAGTGTTCTTCGATCTTGGATCCCTAGATGCTGTTGGACTACAGCTCCTGTCATCCCTGACCTTTGACCATGTTTGCTGGGGATGATGGGTATTGTAGTTGAACAATATATGCGAACAATATCTGGAGCCCAAAGGTTAAACAGTAGTCTAGTGTATGAATACTGCCCCTTGTGCAGACCTGTTGGATGAGAGGAAAGAGAGAGGGGCTGAAATGGAATTGAGAGCAGAGCTAGAGACTTTCTGTGGACCAAGCTTGCTCACCCACCACTGCTCCTTCTGCTGCTTCCTCCCCCTGAGTCCTAGAATTTAACTTGAAGTTTTGCCTACAACATGTTGCCTCCTGTTTTTGTTTTTTACTAAATATGTCTGTTTGCCTTTCCTTTTTCTCCATTTTATTATCTTAAAAGTTGATAGTGTTTCTAGTGTGGCCTACCATAGAGCGTCACAACCTCCCAGTTGTTGCGCATCTGCCGTACATGACCTTAGTTATTGTGCTATTGCAGACAGCCTGAATTGAGTTAGGGTGGCAATTTCACCGGTTTCAGAAGCATTCATGCTTTTTGCTTTTACAGCATGGTGTGCTGTTGAAAGTCTCAAAGAGGCAGGAGGTGTTTCCATTTGTACAGCTACAACGAAAGGATTGCTGCAGGTACCATCGGTATTAGCCATCAATTTTGGAATTGGCAGTCTTTCTTAAAATATGCTTACCCTGCTATCTTTGTATTTGGCAGACTGAATTCTTTCCATTTCAAAGTGTTTGGGTACCTTTTGACATGGAACATACAGGCTAAAGGGACCAGGAAATAGTGTGTGTGTATTTTGTTGTTTTTCACTTTTCACAACTACAGAATGCATTCCATCAGGGAACTCACAGGTACAAATCTTGCTCCAATGAATGGTAATTGAGCCAAAGCACTGATGCATACCCTTCATTTCACTTCCTTGAAGAATAGCTATATAAGTCAGTTGCAACAAAACCAGAGTCTTGTAGAGAGGCTTAACATTGGGCAGATTTATTATGGCATAAGCTTTTATTGATGCATCCAGTGGCTTTTGCTGTAAACAATTACCTGGTTCCCCCATAATTTTATTGGGATATTTCTAAACCACAATATTTTAAAATACCATATTGATGGACAATAAAGGTACAACAAATAGCTTGAGACAAAAACCCCCGGAAAAAACCTAGGTTCCCCCCTCCCAGTTTTTCTGATCTGGTCCCCCCCCCCCCCACCACCACCGGTATGCCTTTCACATATCTAGATATTGCCTGTCTTTCTGGGGAAACCTATAAAAAATAGCATCCAACGAAATGTATACAACATCTCAGCCTGTCTTACTTTAGGGAGTAGACTGTAGACTGAACAATAAGGCAGTTCTTCTTACCAGTTACTGGTAATTCTTCCCTGATCTTTTTCTTCTTTAATTGCTTTTTATTGAGTTTTAAAATTATTATTCATATACATATCCCATTCACTCTTTAACATATATTGTACACATATATCAACCAAACAATAACAATATTTCTTTACAAGTGACTTCCCTCCACCTCAGTGCGGCTTCTTGTTTCTTCCTTCTCTTTTCAACTGTGTTGTTTTTCCTTATTACCCTTCTCTTACGCAATATTTCTTATCTGTTCTTTACTTTGCAAAATTTAGTTGAAACGTATCAAGGATTTTATCTGAGAACAGTGTTTTCTAATCTTTTACATCTGAAGGCAGCTCAGTTTAGGGAAGTTTTTAATGTTTAATGCTGTATTGTGTTTTTAACATTCGGTTGGGAGCTGCCCAGAGTGGCTGGGGAAACCCAGCCAGATGGGCAGGGTATAAATATATTATTATTATTATTATTATTTTATTATACATTCCCACTCCTTTTTAATTTTTTTGTTTGGTTGGTTCCTAATTGCCTCTGTCATTTATGCTAATTCCAAATACTAACACAATTTGATTTGCCATTCTTCTTTTGTTGGTGTCCTATCACCCTTCCAATTTCTAGTGATTAACATTCTTGCTGCTTTTGTAGCATATAGGAACACCTTTTTTAATCATTTGAAATATCAATTGTCATAATGCCCAGAAGAAAGGCTTCAGGTTTCTTCTCAAATGTTTTTTGAACATTTATAAAAAATTCGTCATAGACAAAATTCCCCCCAGAATTAATTTTGTTACAACCCCACCACATGTGGTACATTGTTCCTTCCCCTTGATTTCACCTCCAGCATACACTTGACTTTGATATATATATATATATTGGCCAGTTTGCTGGGGGTTATGTATCACCTGTATAGCATTTTCATGAAGTTTTCTTTTATTGTGTAGCAGGCTGTAAATTTTAAACCCTTTTGCCACAATCTTTCCCAATCCTCCATCTGGATGGAGTACCCAATTCTTCCCTGTTCTATCCCTTTTAGCATGTCATAGTATGAGTCCCTAGTCATGTACTGTCCAGCACAATGAAAATGTAGTTGGTATATCTGAAGTTCCTGGGGTTTTGAAGGAACAGTGTTCTTTAGAACCACAAGAAGATTGAACTCTAGGTTATCTGTGTTGGTAATAAGTGAACCCCTGAAAATGTTGACAATAAAAACATTCAGGACTCCACAATGTACATGTTAAGACCTGAAAATCCAATCTTGGGGAGTATGCTTGAATCCAAATGTATTCTCTCTCTCTCCCCCCCCCCCCACAGTGCATTGGCAAACATATAGCACATACCACAAATATATTACTGAGCAGAGCACAAATTATAGTGGTAGTAATGTAATCTTGTAGTGCCATTAAGATGGCTCTTGCAAGCAAACTAGCAAAACATGAGGGGAGAGGTGGGTTCTTCCTCTGTCTTGTAGTCATATTTAACACTGACAATCTGCACTGTTAGGAACATCAAAGCATGTCCATGTTTTTAGGAAGAGGTCTGGCCAGTTTTGCCTGGAGCAAGAGAGAACTTGATCTGTAAGCAATTGGTGAATAGTTGGGCAGATTGCAAACTATTTTTTGGCTTGCAGTGTAGTTACAGAGCTTCTGTAGTAGATTATCTAACATGTAAAGCTGCTGTTGTTATTTCCATTTCAAAGTTATTTGCTACCTGTTATTGCATGTGACTTGTGTAAATGATAGACATAAGACACCTCTGCCCCTAGGAATGTAAAGGTTAAACGTTCAGGCAGTCGGGAAACAAGTACTTAAATTCTCACCAATTATTCTATAGTATCTTAGAACTTTGAAAGAAATGTAGACAAATTTCTTGGTAGTTGGCAAGTGTTACACACCAGCATGGGGTTTTAATAACTATAATAGATCCCAATATTAAGAGGCTGCAACCTATTTGGACGTGTGTACCACGAGCACACTATTGTATAACCACCTGTGTGTGAGCTCTTTACAGGCTGTTATGCTAACTTGATAGATCATGTTCATACATAGCCTATTGAAGTCTTGACATTTTGCCTTGCTTGCCTTGGTTTTTAAGAGACTTTGAATATAACTTTTTGGTAATAATGATCCCATGGTACAAGCATATATACAAGCTGTAGATTAGGAGTGGGGAGCCTTTGGCCCTCCAGATGTTGCTGAGCTACAACTCCCATCAGCCCTAGCAAGCAATGCCAGCATCTGGAGTCCCACAAGAGTAGTGTATGTATGGCATCTTCTACAACACACAAGAATAATGAATCATATGTATAGGGTAGCAAATTTTTCCCAGCAGGATGTGTGTGTAACAAGCTGGATGTAGATCAGGAAGAGTCTCTAGAAATCTTTTTATGTTGAGCTTTATTATAGTCACTAGCATCCCTAATCTCCAGTGACAAATGTGTTGTCTTTTAAAGCATTGTCAATGATGTCTTTGTCAGGTCAGTTTGCTCTAGTTTGTGGTACAACTTGGCCTTGTTGCTGATGCTCCATAAAACTCCTAGCTAGCTACATATCTCCACATATTGCATCATTTGATCTGTCTGTCTTGCAGAGGAGGAAGCTGTATGCCTATTTTGTCTAACATCTCCACTGTTACATATCAGGACTGGTGTTTTGTTGTTGTTGTTGTTTAGTCGTTTAGTCGTGTCCGACTCTTCGTGACCCCATGGACCAGAGCACGCCAGGCACCTCTGTCCTCCACTACTTCCCGCAGTTTGGTCAGACTCATGCTGGTAACCTCGAAAACACTATCCAACCATCTCGTCCTCTGTCGCCCCCTTCTCCTTGTGCCCTCCATCTTTCCCAGCATCAGTGTCTTCTCCAGGGAGTCTTCTCGTCTCATGAGGTGGCCAAAGTACTGAAGCCTCAGCTTCACGATCTGTCCTTCCAGTGAGCACTCAGGGCTGATTTCCTTAAGAATGGATGCGTTTGCTCTTCTTGCAGTCCATGGGACTCTCAAGAGTCTTCTCCAGCACCATAATTCAAAAGCATCAATTCTTCGGCGATCAGCCTTCTTGATGGTCCAGCTCTCACTTCCATACATCACTACTGGGAAAACCATGGCTTTAACCATACGGACCTTTGTTGGCAAGGTGACGTCTCTACTTCTCAAGATGCTGTCTAGGCCTGTCATTGCCCTTCTCCCAAGAAGGAGGCGTCTTTTAATTTCGTGGCTGCTGTCACCATCTGCAGTGATCATGGAGCCTAAGAAAGTAAAATCTCTCACTGCAGGACTGGTGTAGCCATCTTTTATGCTCACAACAACATTGACTAGGAGTGAGGAAAAGGGAGATCTGATAGGGTGACATTCTAACCAAAATACATTCCATTTCGCTAGCCGCTCTAACTTTATTCTTCATGGTCATCAGATTTCTGCAGTCCACCACTTACTTTGTACAAAACAGTAAGCATGTCACAATTATGTTGGGGCACAGGGCAGTTGTTTAACATGAGGATGTGTTGCAGTAACTAACTTGGATTAATCTAAGGCATTTGCCATGAAGAAATAGGAATGTTCATGAATGTTCTGTAACTTTTTTAAAAAGTGTAGTACTGATCAAAGTATCTGTAAAAACTACTTTTTGAAATGCACTCAGGCCTGATTTAAGTTCGCACAGCTGGTTTCACTTAACTATGCATGATTGGGCATGGCTGTCATCACACTTCAATTGGGTTTCATTCCCTATAAAATGTAGAGAGTTGACACACCTGGAATTCACAGCCCAAGTGTGTTGGTGTGGTTGAAGACTTAAATCAGTGGGTCATTGCTACACTAACTGCTTATAAACCTGCACAGGTAGGTTTCTTGCACATTCCTGGCATCATATTTTAATGGAATCTATGAACAATGAAGTATTATTTCTTAGTTCCGCTTAATCCTAACAGGAGGGGACAGCAAGCTTTGAAATCTCAGAGCAGACTGCCTTTCTGTTGCCAGAGCAGAAAGACATGTATTATCATTATGAGCTTTATATGTGTGTGCTTATGTGTGTGTATAATTCTGGTTTGTGCAGGGCTGAGAAGAGGCTGTTAATAGGTAGCACCAAGATACAGTTAAGAAGGCACGGTTGCCAAAATTAAACACAGTTCAAGCATACCTACAGGGCTTGTTTTGGCAATATGGAAACAAGACTCTCTGTTCTCTTTCTTCAGGATCAACAACTTGCTGGCTCTAAAGAGAAGGCATCAAATATTGTCATTTAACCACCTCAAAAATTTTTGGAATAGTGAAATGCTTCAAATCAGCCTTTTGGGGAGTGAACTGGCTTTGTTTAGATTTAGGTTTATTCAATTTATGAATCGCTTCCAACAACAAAAAGCCCTGAAGCGATTTGCAGCAAGAAGGTAATACAATATTTAAAATGCACAAATATAAACATTCAGATTAAAAACATCCAATTGATGGTGCCCAGGAAGACAAAAACACCTTTGCCTGAGGCCAAAATGACGACAGAGTTGGTGCCAGGCGTGCCTCCCTTTTGAGAGTGTCAAATAATTACTGGCTAATTTTTAACTGTAATGGGTGCTGTCTCTTGAAGACCCTCTCTGGAATGACTTCATAGCTAACACTTCTGAAAAAGTAAACATTTCTAAACCTTTCAAAGCATATGTGCTGAACAATTTTATCTAATGAGAATTTTTCTCCAAATGTTGCTCCTGATAATGTTAATAGCATTGTGGAATAGTATAATACTGTACTATTCAAAAGCATCTTTCTAACTTTCTCCCCTTTTTCTTTTGTTTATAGGCAATCTCCAACATATAAATCCCCTTGGAACTAAAGCTAAAGCTACACTGTCCCTGGATCACTTAAAGGTACAGGAAGTTGGGTATTCCGAAAGCCCAGCAGCTCTTTATCACTGGCTGATATTTTGGGGTGGACATAAGTATATGGGAGTTCTGTTGCAGTTTCCTATCTTAAGATGCTGCTTTAATGTCAGTTGTATCCAAAGCCATCAGTACTTGAGCTGAGCAGACATACGCACTTCTCCCTACTGCAGCACCCTCCTGCACCCTCAAAAAAAACTGCCGTGGGTGGTTAGAGAAACTTCTTCTCAGTTTTCCCATATCCTGGCTACTGCTTCCCCCGACACCTGTGTTTTCTCTCCCTGTTCCATTACCATCAACAGCATCTTTGAATCTCTTGCTTCAACAATATGCCATATATAAGGATGACACACTTTAAACCTGAAAGGGCATGGACTAGTCTTCCCTAGGTATTGGGGATTGCTTGTGAAGGGTGGCTTAGAATATACACAGGCCTGTTCATTTCTCTGGAGTATTAACTGCATTCTGCAGCACATTTCCGATACTTGATTCTGGTATAAAGCAAAGGAATAATAGACTACTGAAATCTGTAATCATATCTTTAATGTTTTATTCCTTCATTGAAACAATCCAAATAGTGAGGCAGTATTCCTGCAAATGGGGGCATGTGTTTTCAAGAGTATATGCTCTAGGTGTGTTGCTCTCAACAGATTGTTAGGGGGCTGTGCATGTTAAAGCTGATGCCTGCATTCAGCAGAGAACCAGTTTTTGTCTTTTGTGTATATCCAGGTGACTCAGTGCTCTTAATGTAGTGGTGAGTCATTCTAAACAGATATCTAGAGGGCAGGCCTCAATTGCATGTCAAGATAATGGGATGTGTCCAAGGTTTTCTGAAAGGGGCAATCTGTAAGAGTGGTATGTGCATGCTCGGCCATTTTATAGAAAAGGCCTTCAACTAAGCAGTTCAGCTAGCGCAGTTGGTTTAGGAAAAACAGGTTTACTCAGTGACACATGTGCCTGCCTTCAGCTTTTTAATCTCTAATGCAAGATGTCCTTGCTACACGTTTATGAACATGCTCTGTCTTAAAATGGCAACTTGAAATTTTTATTATTGAACCCAATATGGAGAGAACTTCAGGCAAGAGCAAAACAACACACACACACACACACACACACACACACACACACACAACTCCTTGGCCAAAGGCCTGGCTGGTGTGTGTGTGCTCTTTGTACATGAGTGAAACCTGTAGCCTCTTGGGTCCCTTTCTTGGAAATGTAGGAACATACCAGGTCAGGCCATAAGCAAAACTAGGCACATCATCATTCACACAGTTACCAGTTATGCAGATGGCTTTTTAAAAGGAAGTTTCAGGTGCAAGGTCTGATCCAGACCCTGAAGTTGAAGGCCGGTGGCTTTCACCCTTTGTTCCCTGCTGCTGTCCCAATAAGTGTCAGCACAGAGTTGGGGGTAGAAGTCTATTATATTCATAGTTGGGGGTGGAAGCTTTCCTCCAATGCAAATAGCAGGGCCTAATCCATATTGGGACCCACAGCATAGAGCAAAAGGCCAAAGCCCCTTTTCCAGGTGTGAATCAGGCTCCTGTACCTGCAATTTGTAGAGCTGATGATTGTGCTAGTTTGGTCCTTTTTGAACTGGCAAGGCTTATCCCTGTCTCTGTCAGAGATGTCCCTTCATTTGCTACCTGGACTTTATAGCTGGAGATGCCAGGAGTTGAGCCTGGGACTTTCTGCATGCAAACCCTATGCTATACCACTGAGCACTTAGTGCATTAAGGGTAGTGTGAGGTACAACATGGCCCAGCTGCTGCTGGGCTGTAAACTCCTGGCTACTAGTGAGCTATGGTCCCTTTCCTTAAGCATGCCCAATGTTGTTTCTGATGGTCATTCATAGCTTTAAAAATGGCTGTTATGGGATCTGTGCCTTTTGAAGCTGAGCCAAGCTATTGTAATTTACAGGAAGCATTAATGCTGAGCTGGAAATCAATAAAATCCTTAAAATAGTGGGTGCCATGTTAAACATAAACTTAGTAAAACAAAGCTGTAAACCCTTTTTCTCTCTGGATCAAAACAAACCTAGCAGCATGCTTTTGATAACTTCATTTACAAGCATAGTGTTGGTTTCTTTGGCAATGAAATTTGTGAACTTGTCAGAATATTAGAAGACTTTGGTCTGTGGTGCTTCACGTGAGTCCTTTCTGCACATCTCAGGCTAGCATGTTGAGCCCAGCCTGCTATTTTGTATGTACAGGTATTAGAAAATGTTTGCATGCTGGAGAGCATTCAGTTTCCTTTCTGCAGTCCAGCATCAGGTTCATCAAGGGAGACTTTGGATTGTGTATTTCAGCTCTTAGATGCCAATTCATTGTGTTGAAAATCCATTTGCTTCCACTGGCCCATAAACCCTTGTCTGCCTTTTCAGAAGTATGCGTCTTTCCTAAAATCCTTAAGAGGCAGTTTGCAGATCACTTTTGTCTTTGACTCATCCTTTCTAAATTTGGAAGCCTATTCATGGCATCAATTCTGAAGGCCCACAGAATGCTTAGACAAATTGCTACTATTAGCATCCAGTGATTGCTCATTTTTAAAGCCAGGACCTTTGCTGGTTCAAGATAAATTTTTAAACGTCTACAGGTTTTATTGGGAGACAGAAATTGGACTATGGTAACTTGACATTAGTGCCTTGTGTTTGCTTTCATCACTGGGACGATATAAGTACTCAGTTCACCAAGCACTACTGCTCTGCATGCAATCCTTAATTCATTCTTCTTGGCTAACACAAATGAAGTGTGTTGGATTGTGCCCAGCATTGTTTCTGGTCTAGAAAGGTTGCCTGCTAAACCTACCATTTGCAGAAAGCCTGAACTATCGTTTTTCCAGTACTAACTCCTGAGCAGTTGACCACATGCATGCTCAGTTTGGCATTCATTTGACAGCACAGGTTTATTGTATCCAGGGTTCGAAATTAGCAGGGCTCCAGGCGCATTTTGCACCTAAAGTTTTTGCATTTACAAGCACCTCAAAAAGTCTGGGTGCCATTTTTTGCATCTGGCTAACACTCGAGGATTACTGAAATGTATGTGCTTTGAAGCTTCGAAGTATATGTCAAGGATAGACAATATGTTAAGAAGTTTAACAATAAAGAGTGAAGTGTTTTGAGAGCTGAAGTATGGTACAAACATTTTTACTGTAAACACCAAATTAAATATGTATTAACAGTTTCTGTTAAAATGTAATATTAACCATGTATCTCTTATGTGAATTGCATATTAGTTCATGCTTATCAAAATAATAAATAAAAATTTATTTATTTATTGTTGCTGAGCCACCCCCCCAAATGACACTTAAACATTCTGTTTTGGTGCCTACAACCCAGCTTTTCTATCCCAGTTTCTAACACTGATTGTATCCAAATGGAAGGCTTGTGTAGGCTGTACGCACTCTACCTGAAGTTGTGCAGGAGTACTTTTACTATTTTCCCAGAAAGCCAAAGATACTTGTAGAATAGCCTTATAAGTATTTGTCCTTAAATACATGACACAGTGTAATATGTGTTGTTCATCAGAGGTTGTATTTACCTAATTTTAAAACATGCTAAGGAACAGATAATTGTTATTACCCGGTATGTCCTGATATGTAAAACCACAGAAATCAAAGATGGTGTACTTTCTTTTTCCCATGACTGTAAGGTGTTGGTGGGATCTCAATTGAATATTTTATGTGGAAAGGTTTGGAAGCAATTGATTCTCTCCTTTTTCTTTTCTTTTTAAGGTAAAAATTCAAGCACTTGCACAGAAATAGCCTGCATTCAAAGCCAAGTTTACCTGCAGCAATTAGCTTTGGATGGAAGTCAATATGTCTCAAGTTCAAATCCAGAATCCGTCTGCTGCTCTTTCTAGCAGCCAAATACTAAACAAGAACCAATCACTTGCACAGCCTTTGAGTATTCCTTCTCCCACTAGTTCTTTGCCCTCTGAAAATGCAGGTAGACCTATTCAAAATTCTGCTTTACCCTCTGCATCTGTTACATCTACCAGTGTAGCTGCAGGTAAGCCTGAAAATTTATTTGGTATATTTCAATGATAATGTGAGTGTCAAATGCCTTAAAAGAAAATGCCAGGTCCTAATACCCATGCTGTTCATATTCTGCTTGTTTAATGAAGTTGTTTTGGAAATAGTGAAAATTATAAGGAGAAATGTTTGATGGAACAAACAGAGATAAGATTAAAACAAATGGCTAAAATGGCTTTATAAATATTTTATATAATCAAACTCACTGTTCCATCGTTCTGGTTCTGTACAGTGTTTTCTGATCATGGTTTTAGCCATGAAGACATGTTTAACAAGGATTGTTCCAGAGAGCTTCCTTTCTAATATAGAGTGGTTTATGCTAGTAACTTAACTGTAGTTAAGTAATTTACTACTAATTTGCTTCATTGACTACATGTGTCCATTTGTCCATTTGCTCTCTTCAATCTGGCAAACTAAGGTTTCAGGTATCCCTCCAAACGAAAATTGCAAACTGATATAGAATATCTATGGAATGTACACACCCATTGTGTGTTTATCATCATGGGTGGTGGCATAATTCTTAAATAGTGTGGCATTCCATAAGCACTGACCATTAAAAATGTATGGCATTTTGATTGCATAGTTCTGGTCATCTACAGCCTCTGGCCACTAGATAAGCCTAGCTTTGTACTTCCAGAACCCCTTGAGAATTTGGGGAAGCAGGAGTTAATGGCAATGCTCCACTCAAGGCTTATCCTGAGGCTACAGATTACCAGTTCTCTGTGCAATTAAAGTGTGCCTCATGTGATTCCACTTTCAGAATATTGAATCCTGGAGGACAGAGTTTTCATGGGTTGGGCTCCCTTGTTTGTACAAACTAAGCTTCTGTAAGCTTATTGGGCTTTGTGTTCTTGTTTTCTTCCAAATTGGGATGACTGGCAAAATGGAAACTACACCTGGGACGTAGCACTCAAATGGGACCCCCTTTTTAAAGAATATGACAGAGTAGAAGCAGAGACAATTAAGTATTAAAAATGAGAAATTAAGAATATAAATACCTGTGAAGCAGCTTCATTCTTAGGGAGAGAGAAGCTGTCAGATTAGGACCAAATATGTCCTGGCAGTGGAGGAACTTTCTGAACAGCTTAAGCTGTGTAGGTTAAACAAGAGGCCTATGGCTTTCAAACATCAACTCAAGGATGTAGGCACCTAGCTAGTTTTGTTGCAAAGCAAATTAGTTTGATCTTTCCTTATATTGCAACTGCAACGTTCACTCGCTGTCTGATCCTTAGAGTTAGTCTTACAATCAACTTTTATCTGGCATTCTGGACAACTAAATTAACATTCTCTGAAACCAATTTACTTTGGGCATCTTCTGTAGAAAGCCGCTTAATTTTATAAGTCTAAGCTTCTGTGCGGTATTTTCCCAGCTTTTAAGTGCTAAAGTCCTTAAGTGCTTCTGTGAATGTAGAATAATACTGAAAGATCAGATTGATTTCTCCATGCTGAAGTAGCTATTGGTCTTTTCTTTTCAGTTCCTTCTAACATGGCAAACCCCAAAGAGAAAACCCCAATGTGTCTTGTGAATGAGTTAGCCCGTTTTAACAAGATTCAGCCTGAGTATAAGCTTTTGAGTGAGCAGGGTCCAGCTCACTCGAAGGTAAACATTGCCTGTCTGACTTCCATATTTATAGTAAAACGATGACTTGAATGTGTTTTTGTGTGTGTGTGTGAAGTAAAACAAAACGTGAGAGGTCTGTTAGCTTGACACAGCTTCCAGTGCACAGCTTGATTTTATTTTTAAGCTGGTACTACTAATATAACTCAGTGAGCGTTATTTATTTATTATCTTCCACACACATCTCAGGGCACTGTACAAAATGTAATGAAAACAGTTAAATGCACAGACAATAACAGCAGATAAAAGAAAAACAATATCAAGTATTCAACCAGCTTGGAAGGGTGGGAAGTAGTGTAGGTTTGGCCCTTTGCTGAAATCCAGCTGGCTTAAGCAGGTAGTTGTACCTTCACCCCAGTATCCAAACCCAGCTGTAAAATAAAACGGAGGGGGGAGGAAATAGTAAAGGAGAAGTCCAATAAAGCACACTGTTTGGAAACGGCAGCATGCAATTCAGAGTACTTATTTTATCATTTATAGCCTTGCATGGCCTCAGGCCCTGCATTCCCACAAGAGCTTTCAAGGTTTCCAGATTTCTTTGCTTTAGGAAGCAACTTACTGGGCAGCATTCGATAATGTGGTAGGGAGGAAGGGCCTTGGAGGTCTCACTGTGTGCATGGTAGCTCCGCATACAGCCTTCTGGATTCCTTTGGTTCTGTGTATTACTTTCACAAAGTCCTTGGCCACAGTAGAAAAAAACATTTTAAATACATTGGATACTTTTACAACAATTCATGCGACTTTTCTTTCCTATGGTTTAATAGTGTTTCATGAAGTAGTTGTTTTATAGTAGGCATGTCCAACCGGTAGATTGTCTTTGGTAGATCACTGGCTCCCTCAAAGAAGCTCTTTGACCTGAACCCCCCAAAAGGGGGTAGATCACTGCCAGTTTTTTTAACTGTGAGTAGATTTCAGTCTCTTGGGAACTATTTACATAAATATTGCAAAATTAATGAATGTTAGAATGATGTCGGAATGAAGTTAAGAGGTTTTTAGCAGCAATGTTATAAAGGAATATGTAAAAATGGATTGTTAACAGGTGATAATCTAAGGTTATAATATATTAAGATAAAGGATTAAGATAAAAACAAAGAGGGAAAGGATTTGCTGAGTTAACTAATTGAACTGGAATACAAAAAAGGGAGGTGTGAGGAGGTCAGGGAAACAAGGAAACGAAAGACAAGATATAGAAAGATTGATTTGTTTTTAACTGTTTTTACATTTCTGTATTTTGTATTTTTGTTTTATTTTTCTTATTTTTGTAACATTTTGAAACTTTAATAAATATCTTTTTAAAAAAAATAGATTTCAGTCTCTTGGGAATTGGCCACCCCTGCTTTAGAGTGATCAGTGTCGTACCTGTGCCTTTTGACCTGTGTGTTTTCAGACTATTAAAATATCACACGCATGCAAGATCAGGCGGTGAGTTGTTGCAGTAAAGACTTCTTTCTCATTCTTAGGTGTTTACAGTGCAGCTGACTCTTGGGGACCAGCACTGGGAAGCTGAAGGAACTAGTATTAAGAAAGCTCAACATGCAGCTGCTGCCAAAGCTTTGGAAGGGACGAGATTTCCTAAACCTACAGCTCGCCCATCACGTAATGAAGGAAAGAACCCAGGTACATATAGCTAACATGGGTTGTACAATGATGTGAGCCATCACTTGATGTTGCAGTGGGAACTGCACATCTAAGCTGCCCCTGAATTTGCACGTTATATAATTGCATCCTATGGCGTGATGATCATGTTTAAGTATTTGTAACAAATCTTTATATGCCGTGTAATATAAAAAAATTCAAGGCCGTTTACACGGAAACAATAAAAATACAATATTCAATAAAATTTCCTAAAGAACAACAAAAAAACCTATATATCACATGACAACAGCCAGTTCCTGGTTATATGACAGCCAGAAACTTCCCACTACCTGAACACAGGTGTGCTAAAGTAGCATACAATTGTGTCGGCTGATACCCATTTGTGCAATCAGCTTTTAGCCCTCTGAATCCAAAGTTCTGTGGTTAAAAATTCCGGATTCCAGAATGCTTCCACTACTTAGACTTGGAAGGTTTTGCTTGGCATTATTTTATTAATTAATATATTTGTACCCCACCCTACATCAGTTGATCTCGGAGTGGGGTACCTATTCCATAAAACAGTTAGTGCAATAAAACAGGATAAAATGTCAATCATCAATCAAACCACATCCTAGGCAGATCCCACTCCAGACTATATTTGGCATGACCCAAACACCAGGGTAAACAGGCTTAACCTGCTGCCAAAAAGAATCCACCACTGGTGTCTGCTGAGTATCCAAGTTAGACTAAGTCATGCTTTTATCAATAAGTCATGGTGCCTTTTGCCATCTTTGCCTCTTGCCCCTGGAATTTTCTCTAAAGCTGAATGGTGTATGCATTGTTAGCCTCGACAAGGGAGCAGGAATGTGATAAAGTGATGGTGCAAAGTTACTACTTAACCTCCCAGTTCTTTTCAGGGTTTCACTGGAGCACAAAACCTTGATAGTTCTGTTTATTTTCCATATTCTCATCCAGTTTTTCAGACATACATTGTCTCCCCAAGAGGCTCATTTAAAAAAAGAGAAGAGACATGCCCTGCCATTAGACTTACAGACTAGAAAGGCAAGGTTTACAGGGGCAGGGAAGTAAAAGGCAAAAGAGGAAGATTGGTTCAAGCCCAGCACAAAGTGGTGAGCTACAAGCATTTATATCCAGGTTGGGCCAAGTTGGTTTTCCTTTGCTGGTGTTCTTGCTTGGACATCAATTGGTTGGGGTAGTGTCTTCTTTCCTCTTGCTTTTGCAGTCTCAGGCAGCTGGGGAGCCAAGTGTTCTTTTGGCAAATAAGATGGGGGAATAGAGCTTCCACCAACTCTGCTTGTTTCGGTTGCTCTCCAGTTGCCATGATGTTGTTTGTGAGGCAGTGGTCCGGCCTTCTAGTAATCCTTGATTCCCAACAGCAGAGACTAGAGTGTGCCACCCTCCAGCTCTGCAGCCCCAGGAGAACTCTTTAAGTATCAGTCATTTTACTATTTATAAAAAAGGAGCAAACTAAAAACCCAGCGCTGTCTCAGGGAGAAATTTAGTAATGTTACCCAAAGCCTGTATCATGAGTAGCTTGAGTCTGAATTGACCTAAAGACATATAATTGTAACTTAAACATAAAAATAAAGTATTGAAGGGAAACAGGATTTACTTTGCACTGTGAAAGTGATATGGACAAGGAATTGGCTAGCTTCTTAACTTTATGGCTGCAAGGATTGTTACCACTTAGAATTGGAAATATTTGTAAGGAGCATTGATGGACGCTTAGTACAAAAATAAGTGGCAATTTGCAGTGTCTGAGAAGCTGACTGAAAACCATTCATTTGAGCAAGGAACAAATTAAAAAACTAATAAACTCATTTTCCATTGTGTGGTATGGCTTTCTTGTGCACATGAACTGAGAGACCAGCACCAAACTGGTCCTGGCATGTGCAAGTATATATAATTCAAAGCCAGTCTGGACGTTCACTTCAGAATATTAGCTCTGTTCTTCCTCTACTGTGCTTCGCCTAGTAGACCCTGTGGAAAAGCCAGAAGAGTAATAATGGAGCCATGGGCCACATGGAACTAAATAATTGTGCTAGCTCAAGGTGTGCCCTGTGTCATCCCCAGATCTGCTCCAGAAGAGGGCTGGAGGAAAGCCAAGAAAGGATTTAGGAGGGTAGCAGAGGGAGAGGGATCTGTTGCAAAAGGGACAATCCTTGCATTGATTGAACATATCACTATGTAGAAAACTACCCATATTTCATATGCTATTTTCATTTCTGTTGCCTACATTGGTTGTCTTTATTCCTCTTATGTAAAAAAAACAAAAAACATTCCACTATATAATACTAAATATTTCCAAAACTGAGGAAAAAATAAGAAATGTATACAAATGCAAACTTTCTGCTCTGTCTGAAGTTATTTACCCAGGAACAGCTCCCAATGTTTGCAGAAAATACTATTGTTTATTTACACCATGCTTGCAGTAAGTCAAACTGGGATAAATGGAAACAGGAAGCTTTTTCCATGTCTACCAGACTTCCACTGAAAGCACTCTAGGCAACAGGTTAGTCTCATAAGAAAAAGGGATGCTAAATGCATATTTGACATGGCCGGTCCAAGTCAGCCACAGTGAGGCAGTTTTAAAGCTTGTTCCAGTTGTAAAGGTAAAGGGAACCCTGACCATTAGGTCCAGTCATGACTGACTCGGGTTGCGCGCTCATCTCGCTCTATAGGCCGAGGGAGCCGGTATTTGTCCGCAGACAGCTTCCAGGTCAAGTGGCCAGCATGACTAAGCCGCTTCTGGTGAACCAGAGCAGCACACGGAAACACCGTTTACCTTCCCGCCGGAGCGGTACCTATTTATCTACTTGCACTTTGATGTGCTTTCGAACTGCTAGGTTGGCAGGAGCTGGGACCGAGGAACGGGAGCTCACCCCGTTGCTGGGATTTAAACCGCCGACCTTCTGATCAGCAAGTCCTAGGCTCTGTGGTTTCTATTTCAGTTGTAGTGTGTGCAAATAAGGTTTCCTAATCTTACACTAATGCAGGTAGGAGGCAGTTCTCTCCCCTGGCTACATGATGGACCATTAACACACCTGGCTATGATTGTAACAAATTTGCCAGCAAAGAAATCAAGCAAGCAGCTAACTAGGGAGAGACTTAAAGTTTAGAGGAAAAAGTTGGTTTGCCTGAAGAAGCTAACACAATTTAAAAGACTTTTGTCAAAGGGAGTGCAGAAGATGGCATGGTGCTCTCTTTTACCAGGTGATGATAATCCTAGAAATCGGGGATTAAATGGTAGGTTGCAGGACTTGGTTGCCCATAGAGTAATAACCCTATGAGTTAGTTGTAATTAGCTTTCCTTGAAGGGAAATGACATCATTTTGATGTATGGAATGAGCTTGGAAATAGGTAGTTTGTGCCACCAAGATCTTGGATGTGCTGTGGAATTTTTATTTTACGTTTTCCCTTTTGACAACAGATCCCCATGCCATGTCACAAACTGCTTCCAAAACTCCTTGGTGTCAAGGGAAGATTGCTAGGGATGGGTGGGTATGGGGACGCTGCTGTTTTTGACAGTTGACAGCTTATGTAGACTTTCTGAAATGTGTGGGTCTTCAGTAAATCTCCCAGCTTCTTGCCTTTCTCTAATGTCCCTGGCTCTGCTGCCATCTGTCCTCAACTATGGTTGCACTTGCCTCTCCATACAGTGGTGCCCCGCAAGACGAATGCCTCGCAAGACGGAAAACCCGCTAGACGAAAGGGTTTTCCGTTTTGGAGGTGTTTCGCAAAACGAATTACCTATGGGCTTGCTTCGCAAGACGAAAATGTCTTGTGAGTTCCTGCAGGGTTTTTCCCTCCCCCCCCTTTTTCCCAAGCCGCTAAGCCGCTTATCAGCTGATCCGCTAAGCCGCTTAACAGCTGATCCGCTAAGCCGCTTATCAGCTGATCCGCTAAGCCGCTAATAGCGCTAAGCCGCTAATGGGCTTGCTTCGCGGAACGGATTCTTTTCGTCTTGCGAGGCACCACTGTACCATGCTTTTTAGTCTTCCTTCCCAGCTTTGTTTTAAGCAGTTTCGGGGGGGGGGGCTTAGATAAGAACATGCAGCTTTAAGATACCAGGCAGCAACATCTCCTGTCTTCCCTTAATTTGGTTCACAGTAACACATTTTCTACTGATAGACATTGGATGAAAGCCTTATTAAAGTGTGCTTTATTGCATTTTCTTGCTTTTTATCTGTAGAATATGAGCTTTTAAAACTCATATTGCCGGACAGTTGTGTAAGTCTCTGGGGAAATAGTGATATTTAATCAAGACAAAGAAATCTAGAGAGCTATTTGTGGCTTTTGAGGTCTTTCAGAATCTTGGATGGAGTCCAGAGAGCTCCATGCATGTGCTTAATATGCCTCCATGCACTTGTAAAGGATTTGGGGTTGCTGTTTTTTGTCCCCTTCCAGCTGCAGCCCCTTGCACTGCACCAGATGCTGCTATGGAACTTTCTCTGACCTTCATAGTGACTTCTGAAGCACATAGGCTATGGCTTGGGGTGGTTGTTGGGAGCATTGATGCTGGAATGCTCCAGCTCACTTGAAGCCCAGGTGTAGATTTTGGATTTCTGCCATTGATTTTAATTCTCCAGAATTGAGAATTTGCAAACAGTGCCGCGGTACTATGCAAATAAGAAGAGGCTGGCAGTCAGATAAAAGACCAATGTGGGCAGCATGTGAGCTCTCAGTGAGGGGAAAAGGTGTTTATATTAAACCAAGCATGTGTAATGCAAGCTTTTGTAGTAATGATAGCCTTCAGTTTGAAGAACAGCATGTCTTCTATATTCTATGCATATAGTGCTAGGCTTTCCAGTCAAATGCCAGTATTTAAATATCAGTTTGCAAATACAAATCAAGTTATATGCTGCAGCAAAAAATCTATTCACATGGCATTTGCATTAACACTTGGTTTCTGTAAAATAAGCATGCCTCCCCTGAACAAATTTAAATGACAAATTGCTTTCTGTCCTTATTTAATACACATGACCTTCTCTTCCTACCACCCATCCCTTTGATGCTTCTCAAGTTTACTCCTAGCTATCGAGGGAATGAATGTCTGAGGCACAGTGTGGAATTCTCTCTGACCTCCACCTTTAACACTTGCTTTATCTTCTTCTCTTTAGATAGTGTAACCCCCACAGTGGAGCTGAATGCGCTTTGTATGAAGCTGGGAAAGAAACCAATGTACAAGCCTATAGATCCTTACACAGAGATGAGGTCCACTTACAACTACAGTATGAGAGGTGGTGCTTATCCCCCACGGTATGTCATGCCATTATTCACTCTCCTGTAATTAAGTCTTCCGATCACACTCTTTCAAATTCACAATTTTGGTGCTTGTGAAGAATACTGCACTTGTCTTCCTAGTATAGTGATTCTCAGACTTATTTCTCTGGGCCACACTTTCAGAATAAAGATTTGCTTGTGCCATCCCACACCATTTTTATTTTATTTTTTGTTAAGAAATACACTGGAAAACAAAAAGGAACAACTCCTACCAGTGCTTGACTTAGAACAGCAGAACACAAGTGCTTTATAGTATGATCACATGACATCCAGAAAGCATTAAACAAGGCAGCTACATAAGAATATGAATCATTCCCAAAATATAATTATAAATGAACCTCTTACATATGTACCTTAAGTACGTTTATGATCTTGCTTTTGCTGAGTAATCTCATTTATATTAGGTCTAATTTGAGAGAACCAAACTCTCATCTCTTCATCAACACAAAGAATCCTTTCTCTTTTCTAATCTTTTGTATTATGGCAGGCTTAATCATTTTGTCAACTATTGTATGTGGTTTATTATTATTAATTAAATTTGTATACCACCCTTCGTCCGTAGATTACAGGGTGGTTTTGTCTGTTGAGCAGTCAATTCAGCCATTTGGTAAGATATAATTTGCATCTTATCTGAGACTTCTACTCCTTTTTCAAAACAAGATCATTGACATTTCTGCTGTTCCAAAAGCCTTTCAAAATATTGAAAATTCTTGTTTGCCAGATTTCCATGTTTGACAACAGATGTCTTCATCTTGTCTTTGCCCATACTGGAATTGGAAAAGCTTCTCACCACGGCAAACACGTGGCTGAAGGACATTTTCCTCTCCATTCCATGTGAAATCAAGACTCAAAATAGCTATCCGCATATTGTCGACAAGCTTTCTTGTATGGATGTTTGCTTGGGCCTTCTACCGGTGTCAAATTAAATGGATCTTCTCTAGCACTCTGTTCGAACGGTGATTTTGGATCACAACTAGGATTGTCCTCAATATCACTTGATGCTTTTGTTCTCATTTTTAAAATATATCTATCCATATCCTGCAAATTAAAAATAAATTGATACTCTATTATACTACACTAAAATGTTAAAATATTTATTTGATGATTGTTATTGAACCTTCCTGCCACTCTTGCCATCCTCTCCTGCCACGCAAGTGTGGCATGCCACACCCTTTGAGAAGCAGTGTCCTAGGACAAGCAGGTTTTATGCATGAGCTGCACAGACAGTTAAAAGGCAACCATTCAAAACATCTGGTTCCACAATACAGTCACACCTCGGGTTACAGACGCTTCAGGTTGCGTTTTTTCAGGTTATGGACCGCCGAGACCCAGAAGTATTGGAACGGGTTACTTCCGGGTTTCAGCGGTCGCGCATGCGCAGAAGACCAAATCGCACTTTGCGCATGCGCAGAAGCACCAAATCGCTACCCGCATGTTCACAGACACGCCGCTGCGGGTTGTGAACGTGCATTCCGCACGGATCACGTTCTCAACCCGAGTGTCCTCTGTAACGGCCAGCTATTGCTGCACTGCAAAACCCCAAATCTGGATCACCAAAATAATACCACGGCCTTCCCAAGCTTAGCTATAGTGAAGAAGAAAAATTGGATGATTCAGCTGTCCAAAGATCCATTGTATCTGAAATAGGGGACACACCAGAGAAAAGGCTGAGAGCCAAGATCCACTTACAGGAGCAGAATTTTGGGAGAAGGAGGGGGTTGCACCTCTCAGCCTTTCTAAGTACTACATTTGGTGTAGCGGATGGGAGTACGCCTGCTGCACACTATTGGAGAATGAGAAGGTTGGCACTTTGCCCCCAAGCCAATTAAGCCACACTTCTACAGCCTCCTGGCAACAGCCTCAGTCTCCCTGGTGAGGCTTCATAAACGCTTTTAGAACTCTTTATTTAAAGCACCCCATTCTCTTTGTTTCTAGATGCAAAAACTGGTTTCATGCCGTCTTGCCCTTTACTTATAAAACTCTTTACAAAATGTCAAGGTCGTATACAGCAACATATGCAGATACAACAAAATATAAAATACTATTGAAAAATAATAATTAAAATCACTGGCTCGACTTAAGAAAACGTAAACAACTGAATAGGCCTGCTGGAATAAAAAGGTCTTCCAAGGACACTTGAAAACTAGCAGCAAAGGTGTATTCCGCAGAATGGGACTGGCGACACTAAATGCTTGAATTCTGGTTGTAACCGGTCGGACTGCTGAATAACTAACACCACTCCTGGATTATCTCCGTGATCAAGCTGAGATATAAGGGCTCAGGTTGTCCTTAAGCTATTATGGACCCAAGTTGTTGAAAGGAGCCATAAACCCTTTTCTTCTTCTTTCTTCTTTTTTGCTCCCAAATCTTTTCCTTTGCAGTGTGACAGACATCCCTGCAACCTCCTCCTCCTCCAAAAAGCAACATCATTCCAAAATTTGAAAACAAAAGCTAGGAAGTGAAAATCGAAGGATAGTGGTCTGCATTGGGGGGGAGCACACTACACTAAACAGCCAGTCTCCTTTTTCTTGTAGGTTTGGTTGGCCTAAATAAAGTGGGCAGAATTTACGGGCCTGAGCTTGTAACTTTTTAAAAGCAAATGTTCTATTGAATGCAGCCGAATATATTCATAGCTTAACTTGCTGGTTGAGTTCAGAAATGTTTAATCTGTGTTGGTAGCTTTGTGCTTCTGGCTTTAATGTTAATGCTTCTAGTCATGCAGTGTCTACACTGTAAGTGCTGCAGTCAAACTTTTGAGGGCCAACAGTTGATGCATTGTGTTCAGTGCTGTTTCTCCACTTAACGCTTTATTTGAGCCCTGTCTGCTGGCAAGGATGACCTTGTACACCCCCCTTCAGGCCTGAAATGTCAAGTCTTTCTCTTTTCAGGTACTTCTATCCATTTCCTGTGGGACCCTGGCTCTACCAAGTGGAGCTCTCCATCGGGGGACAGCAGTTTCACGGGAAAGGAAGAACAAGACAGGCTGCTAAACATGACGCGGCTGCTAAAGCACTGAAAATCCTGCAAAATGAGCCCTTGCCTGAAAAACCGGAGGTAGTATGTCTAAAACATAGTAGAAGTTAACTGTTTTGAAATTAGCTTTTTGGTTTGCCCAAAATGCTGTTGCTTTAATGTGTGAAGGCTTGCACTCACGTATTTTTCTGTCGCTTATGATGAGCATGTCTGTGGCACTTGGTGGTTCCCCTGTTTAGCCATAGTGAACTGTGGTACCTCTCTGCTTGACAGCCCAGTCGCTAATGATGGGTAAATGCATCAATTACTGAAGTGCTGGAAGGTCAAGAGGGAAGATATTTGCAGACTTTTGGCCTCCTCCAAGGCTGCTATTCTTTCCTTCTCTGTTCCTTGCATTGCCCCAAGGCAGACCCAACCAGCCAGCAGCTCCTCACTGGTTTTAAGCATTTCAGCCTAGAGAACGTATCACAGATACAGCAGGTCTCATAAAATGGTGCCTCAGTCATTGCGTGGCTTAACTATATTGCATTGTGAAAATTACAGCTTCAGAGTCAAGGCTTTGGGGTATATAAGTGGATATACCCAGAATTTGGAGCGGAGGGTGGGAAATGAGCTCAATATTTGGATTTGGTAGTAAGTTTAAACAATGAATTTGGGCCCCAGGTTATATTTAGTTCAGTTTAGAATAACAGAGAGTACACAATGGCGTAACTCGAGGTAGATCTATAGCCAAGTCTGTGCTGGAGTTAAATTGATTTCAGATTTTGGAGCAACCACTGTCAAGTCTTTGAGACACTGTAGAAATTGTGAATGGGAGACCAGTTTTCCTGCAGAGTATATTTAAGTAGTACTGGAACAGCAACTGGAATTCTATAAATAGGTTCCGCGCAGTGTTGGCTGCAGAACGTTATTGTTAAAGCTGTCACTACTTTGAAAATACAGCATAATTCTTTTCCGTAATCATCAGCATCAGAACTGTATTGAAACTCCATATTCTGCCTTACCCATTACTTGGGTTACATGACGAATAATATAGCCAGCTTGCAGCAGAAGCAGAACTGAATTACTGGCATCGTCTCATTTCGCAGATGCATCTGGGTGAACATTAAACTGCTTAATTTGGCATTGCCTTAGAAGTTGCCTGAAGTATTAAGCTTAATACAGTTTACCTTGACCAGCATCAGTTCTTCAGGGGCTTGGATCAAGCAGCCTTCTGACACTGCTCTCTGAGGCCTTCTTAACTAAAGAGATCAAAATCTGGGACCTTCATACGTTCCGTGTGTGCATAGACGTTTCTTAAATAGTGTGTTGAGTTTTTTCTTCCTCTGCCCCTTACACTATTTCCTGTTTACAGCAAAATAAAATTCTAAAGAACTGTTCTCTGCTTTAACTTCTCTTACATTCTCATTTGCTCCGCTAGTTAGCTCCAGTTAACTTAATTTTGCATGATAGTTATTTGGAAAGATTATTGTACTTGTGCTGTGTGTACCACTGCATGGATGTTTTGCCCGGTCTCTACAAGGGCGTGTATTTGTTTTCAACCTCAATATCCTCATCAGCATGCTTGTTAATTGTTATGAATTATCTGAAGCATGTGTTCAGAGTTTTGTATATGCATGGCTAAATGTGATCGCTGCTTTATGAATGGAGCTTGTTTGAAGAATCAGATCATAAACTGGCACCATAAAAATGGCTCAGTCAGAACATTTGATTTCCTTAATCTTACAGCCTGACATTCTGCCATTATCTCCTCTGTACTATAATTCCCCGGTTAATAAATAACTGAGCCACTAATTCTCAAAACTTGGGGCAAACATTTGGCAATGTTGCTTCAGTCCGTATATTTTTTAAATCCATGGTAGTAAAATAAGTAGAAAAGAGATTCAAGGTCTTAGCTTGCATTGGGGAGTCTTTTTATAGATAGAGAGAAGTCCCATAACTTAAATGCTTAGCTTTTAAGGTGAAGCTTTAGGGCCCTCCCCTCCCTGTGTTTGACTTTCTAATACTGGAAGAGATGGGATGCAGTTTTGAGTAGGTGAAGAAAGACTCAACAAAACAAAACGTCTTTGAGTGTAGAGGGAGGATTTTAATGAGCCTCTCGGTTTACATTTTTTAATTGCCTGCTTAGATATAGATTGTCTATTTTACTGATCACTTACTGATATATTACTTGTTTTGTTTTAAAAAATATGTTGATTCAATGGGTATTTTCTTACAAATATTTTAAATTATTTATGTAATCCACTTAGTTTTCTGATTAAGTGGTATATAAATCTTGATGAACAAATAAAACGTTATTTTAGTTTTATTGATTTTCTTCGTCTTTAAGGATGTTTGTATTTCTGCCTTGGGACCATTTGGTAAAACCTCAGAAATAAATAATGAAACACTAGTTTTCCAAAGTAACTCTCTCAATCACATTTGCTAATTCTTAGCATTCTTGGACTGTACCGTGTCTCTCTCTGTGTATAAAATGTCTGCTGAAACTTCCGTAGCTAGAGTGTGTGCTGATTATGATTTGTGTGGCTTCTTGAGTGTGTTCTGCATAGCTTATTTTCCCTTCCCTTGGAGCACAATAATCTAAGTAGAAAAGGACATTCCACTGACTACTTAAATGCCAGAACTGTCATTCTGAAAGGCATAGCAGTTATTGGAAGCAAATACCATGCAGAAAACTCCCTGAGAGATTTGTTGTTGCAATAGAATATAGTATTTCTCCTCAAGCTAGGGAATGTCATATGCCTCCAGTCTTCACTGGGTGAATACTACAATTCAGCTCCAAAGGACTGCATTAGGTGTTTGTAAAGAGTTGAGTGCACCCAGTGGATTTAATTGCTGCTTCTTCCCTTTTAGTTGCAGCTCCTGTGCTAGACTGCAGACCACTTTTGAAAACTGACCTTTATAAAAGGAGCTTTCCATGTGGTGTTGGGTGGGGTAGGGAGTCTGCGGTTGGCAAACCCAGGCACAATACTCCCCTCAGGCACGCAGATATTCTCTGGGTTAATAATGGCCTGAAACTGGAAAAGCTGAAAATGGGAAAATAGCATTGGGCTTGTATTTTGAAAATGTATTTTATAAAGCTCTGAACTTTATTGCCAGTTTTTACAGGTTGCCTGCAAGTAATTTCATGTAGACACCAAAATTAACCTCTCCCATGCATAATGTGCATCTTTCAGAACTGCTAGCTGTTTCCCCGTAGATTTTTCAGACAAGGGAATAACTCTGGAAAATCTCTTTGGCATGTCAGGCACTCGTGATGAAAACTGTCCTTGAGCCTTCAGTTTAATTTTCTCCTGGGGGTTGAGTGGAGAAAATCATGTTTAATATTATGATACTAGCCCTAGATACTGTATGTGGCAGATTTGTTAGTGAGTCGGTGCAAAAGAAGCTTCTTCAATATCATTGTTCTTCTCTTAGATTAATGGCAGAGAACCAGATGATGAAAATCTCAATAAATCTGAAATAAGCCAAGTGTTTGAGATTGCACTTAAAAGGAACTTGCCTGTGAATTTTGAGGTAGGTTTAGTTAATTGCTCTAAAAGTGGTTTTACTTTAGAATACTGAAGGTAGCACTACTTGGCGGGGGGAGGGAGGGAGATAATTTGGGGCGGAATACAGCTGGGCTTTAAAATCGTGTGTTAAAATATATCCTGATTCTCTTTCCATGGGTCCAGTAGTTTTGTTTCATAGCGGAAAGCCATTAAAAGGGGAATTATGAGAAGCTGTGTGCTGGCAGCATTTAAATTCTTCCAATGTATTTGGAAGGAAAGGCAGAGGCCACTAATGTCATAAAATGCCGCAGATATATTTGCTTATGTGAGTGGGAGGGAGGGTGTCACCGATTTCCCCTTTGCTGCAGCCCCCACACTGTGTACCACCCCACTCCAAAGGTTCCTCCAGCCCTCAGAAGCAGATGTGCAGGTGCATGAGGGCTGCAGTGGAAAGGGACTTCATTGCAAGGGGAAGGAGCTCTTCCCATAAGTGGAAGTCCACACTTGGTAGTTGGATTCAGTGGGTAAGGCTATGAAAGGATTAGAAGAATGGGCAAGTTGAATTATCCTGTTATGAGAGTATAAATATCTAATATCTAATGTAATTTCTTTCTGTTTAAGAATGTACTGTCTTGCTGTTTATTGTGTGTAGAGTGCAAGAAAAAAGAAAACGTATTCAGTACCAAATATGTCCCTTTGTCGCTTTATTATGAATTGATATTTGGGTATTTGCTTAACGTTAAGCATGGATGCATGCCAAGGTTTATAGCCTTTTAATTTTTTTAAGTAAAAACTGCCACAGACCTCTATATTTGTAGTTGGGGCAAAACGTAGTGCCCCCAAAAGACTAACTTGGTACATACTGAATAAAATAAGACTGCAAAGACTGTCTTTAGCATGTAAAGTTTAGCTGGGTTTACATTTTTAACCTGCATGGGGTGGGGTGATGTACTGAGAGGCTTTTAAAATATAGCCACTTCCCGCTTTATTAGGAATGTTGTTTTAAATTAGCCTTGTTCTTCCCTAACCCGCCCCCCCCAAAAAATTGTAGTTTAGTATATGTGAGTAAAGTTTGCTACAACCATTTTACCCTACCATTTTTAATAAATGTTTATCACGCTTTCACTCAGTTTTTCCCTCTGAAACAGGTGACCCGGGAGAGCGGTCCCCCTCATATGAAGAGCTTCGTAACGAAGGTATCTGTGGGAGAATTCATGGGTGAGGGTGAAGGCAAGAGCAAGAAGATCTCAAAGAAGAACGCGGCCATAGCAGTCCTAGAGGAATTGAAGAAACTGCCCCCCCTTCCTACAGTTGAGAAAATGAAGCCACGAATCAAAAAGAAAACAAAATCAATAGTCAAGGTAAAAGGAGTATGCACTTAGCCAACCCTCAGCTGTTGTAGAAGGAAATTCTTGATAAGTTTAAGGAAGGTGTCTTGCACTATAGCAGACACCTGTTTGTGCCTGTAGTCATCGGAACTCTTTGCTCACTGTTGTCGTGCCAAACTAGTGGTGATTCTGTATCAGCAAGGAAGCACTTTGTCTAAATGCCAGGACCTGTGCTGTGTGTTTGCTGCCATCTGTAATCCAAATGTTCTTGTGCAGCTCTGTTTTGGTGGAGGCTTGCATAGTAGGCGTTCGTAGTGTATGAAGCACAGCATGCATGTTCAGCCTTCATGTAACAGCCTTGTGTAGAAATCAGGCGTAGCTTAATCTAATGAGCACAATTGGTGATGTAGTTTCTGGTATATCAGATCTCCTTTTATAAAAAAAGGTCCAGCACCATAGGGAGCATAGGGACAGTTCATTTGCAAGTAAGTGGGTATCCTCCATTACCTGTGTTCCTAAACAGCATGGACTGAAACCTCCAGAGATGCAATAATTGTTTCAGCATGATTTATTTCTGAAATAATTGTGATCGTAACCTTATTACTGACGAACGCTGGAGGTTGCGATGCTGTAGATACCTTTCCCTGAGTCAGTTTGAGCTTCCTGTGTCTATGTACCGTGTTTGCAGTTGATACTGGTTTTGTTTTGTTGTCGTCTTAAAGTGATTCAGAACAATTCTTCGCAGCTGTGTCTGTAACTCTGCAAGGTGTACCAATACTTCCTGAAAACCCAGTAGCAAAGCTAACGGTTAAAAAAACACCAACCCAACACCACCCTATCTCTTGGAGTGTTTTCATGGGAATGTGATGTATTGGAACTGCTCTTGCCAACTGTTGGCTGATTCTTGCTTTTTCTATCTAAGTTGCAGACAAGTCCCGAATACGGCCAAGGTATGAATCCCATTAGCAGACTGGCTCAAATACAGCAAGCGAAGAAAGAGAAGGAGCCAGAGTACATGCTCATCACAGAACGTGGACTTCCGAGGCGCAGGGAGTTCGTGATGCAGGTTTGTGTTGAGCTCAGCACTTTGTCCAGGACAAGGCAGCCATGTAATTAATTGATTTATTTGAATTTATAAGCTGCTTTGGGCCACGAGGGCCCCTCCAAGCAAGATTGCAATAAAACCACAATAGAATATCATAAAAACCTCAAACAGTTCATATAAAAAATGCACAGCAGCAGTTTATCTTGTATTAAATAATTGATCAAAGTTTCTTGGCCTGGCAGAGCAATATTTAAGGTGCTGCAAAGACATTTTTTACAATCGAGTGAGCCGGCTGAATTTCCTTGGGAAACAGAACGTAGGTGGTACCACCAAGTGAAACTCCTACTTTTTGGTTAGAGGGTAATCTTAATGCATATTGCTTTGGGTGCTACTGCCATCTATCTGGTAGAGCTTAACACAGAAAGGGAGTGGGATGGGCATATATGTGGGAGCAGATGCACTTTTAAATATCACAGACCGAGTACTTCAAAGGTTTAAAATCAGCATAGATAGTGAATTGAATCCAGAAGCACACCTGGCAAACAGTGATGTTCATAGAAAATGGATGTCATGTTATCTCTGTGGGGAGAACCACACAAGATGTGGGACCAGATGACGGTTTCTGAACTATTCAAGGGAAGCCCCATGTAAAGTGCACTGCAGAAGCCAAGAGGCTATCACAAATGAGAGCCTTGCATTAGACAACCAACCTATGCTATGCAGAATGTAGTCCTGTTCTAATTTCAACACAGTGTATTACTATGGTGCTCACATAATTTCCTCCTTGCATCTGTTGCTGACCGAAAGCTACTGTTGCTTCTAGAAGCCGCTGCAGCAGAGCTTGCTCACTCTTTCTCCTTCCCCCAGCCAGCCCCTGTGATGCAGCTGTCTAGTGGTAGGAGGAAGGGAAGAGTTATCCATGGCCAGCCAGCAGCTTGCTTTGTCTGGTTTTTGCTGTCTTTGTCATGGGGAACTTTTTTATTAGTGTGACAGTAGTACGTGATGATTTGAATTCTATTTTCTCTTGCTGGGAGTGCATTGTCTTTGTGTCCCAAACTCCTATGGAGGTGAAGATAAGCAGGAAATAGCTGACGACTTCTTCCCATGGCTGCCCTAGGTTCATTCGACACTCCATCCCTATCATGTTACCATACATTATTATATTCCATATTCCTCCTTAGCCCACACTTGCCATCCCTTCTCCTTCTGCTGGCACAGTACTCTGTTCTCTCCTTGGTTTGGATTTTCATATCCTTCAAGGTTCATAATGAGATCAGTGTGCTGTAATTTTAAAGTAGAATTCTGGGAAGCCTTGTCTTGTCTTTGTCTGCTAGTCCATTCTCATAGAATCCTTTGGAGGCTCTGTGCCTTGTAAATGCAGAAACTGCTTAGATGAGCAGCATGTTGCAATAGTATCGGGGAGCTGTTACAGGGGCTGAAGAACGTTGAGATCATTGCAAAGCACAAAACTGATTGTTACATGCATACTAATAGATTTCTAATCATGCTATCTTGATACTATACTCTGGACACTTCCAGAATCCAAGCTTATTTGGGGCGTTAAAACAAAAATAAAAGCCGGGGGAAAGTCTTGGAGCATGAATTGCCTGCTTTGTGTGCCAGTGCCTGCAGTCAGTGGCATGGAGGCACCATAACTTGGCTATCATCCAAGGCCATATTTGGACAGATACGTTACTAATGATCATTGGCGTTTAGTTTCTCCTTCCTACATAAAGAGATCCTTGTTCTAATAATCCATTTCTCCATACTTCTAGGTAAAAGTTGGCATGCACACAGCCGAAGGAATGGGAACTAACAAGAAGGTAGCAAAGCGTAATGCAGCTGAAAACATGCTGGAGCTCTTAGGATTCAAAGTCCCTCAACCACAACCCCCAAAGCCAGCACTAAAGACAGAAGAAAAGGTAGGGCATCTTAAATGATGGGCTGTGCAAGTTCAGATGGGGATTTGTGTGCTGAAGATTATCCAGACTGTAAAATTCACAGGTGTAGGGTTGTTGTCCTGGGGCCAACAGGGTGGTTGTAAACTGGGTCATTTAGACCAGGCATGTCCAATGGGTAGATCACTGCCATTTTTTTAAATAGTGGGAGTAGATCGCAGTTTCTTGGGAGTTGGACGTGTCTGATTTAGGCAACTTCAGTTTCTTGACTCAGTAGTAGGCATGATCTTGCTTACCTTATAAAATCCAATTTTTTCTGTGTCAATAATATGTGGGTTGTGCTGAACCCCAAATATAGTCCTTTATTAAGGTCCTGCATTTCTTGCAATTCTATAGCGTGCATTGTTGCCAAAACGAGTCTAAACCAGTGTTTCCCAAACTTGGGACTCTAGCTGTTTTTGGACTACAACTCCCATCACCCTTAGCTAGCAGGGCCAGTGGCCAGTGATGATGGCAATTGTAGTCCAAAAACAGCTGGAGACCCAAGTTTGGGAAACACTGGTCTAAAAGCTTAATGTCGATGTGTAAGAAGCATCATAAGGAGAGAGAAACCATGAGCAGTGCACTTTCGTTTGCCATACCGTGCGGTTTTTATTACCTTATTAAGACGCTTTGAACAGTGAGGTTGTTATTGTAGCATCTTAGCCCCCTGTCATTGTACCGATGGACAAGTGCATATCTGCTATGGATATGGACACATTTCAGCAGGGCCCTTGGAGTGAAACAAGATGCTTGCCCCAACATTGCTGATGACCTAGTGTTCCATCAGGTGGCAATGAGGGCAAGTCTCATCTCTTAGGTTCAGAGGGATGGCCCTGGTTTGTTGATTTTTGCTATTGGGGTGGTGTAAGAACAAAGTGGTATAGCCTTTGTTTAGAAAGGTTGTTAGAAACGCTCGACTCTTCAGCACAGTGGCATAACAACTCCAAATAACTCTCTTTTGTGCTAGACGCCAGTAAAGAAGCCAGGTGATGGAAGAAAAGTAACGTTTTTTGAGCCTGGCTCTGAAGAAACATCTGCTAGTAAGTGACCTTCATTTCATTCTTCTTTTATTTTATTTTATTGGTATGATGGCTGTACCAGAGCAGATTGACATTCCATGATTTCAGCCATCAAGAATTGAAGGTCAGTTAGGGCATACTATTTGGTTGATAGTTACTAGGCATTAAATAGGGTCACCCAGGTAGACCAGGGGACACTAGGGCTTGGCGATATCTGGTTTTCAACAGTGTGATGTTTCAGCAGCTAAACATCACAATATGCCAATATATCACGATGTCTGAAATAAGTATGGAGCTATTTAGAGTCATTGGCTGGCTTCAGTTTTTCCTGCATCATGATTTTTGCCAGTACCCGCTCTTGTGATTCGCTGCCCCCTCCCTGCATGAGGCAGCGGGAGAGCTGAGATGGCAGAGTTAACAGGGGCTTCTGGAATCGAGAGAAGCTTGGGTGGCTTTACGGTTTTCCCCACCTTGTGATTTTTGCAAAGCATGCACACACAAATGTGAAAATAAGTTTGCTGGCCCAATAATATAAAGTAAATAAAGGTTTGACCATTTGCTTGTTTCCCAGGGTATATTTCCAGAGCAATGCATGCACAGAGGGTGATGCAAGATTTTTTTTTAATCCACTTTGATAAAACTAAAATACTGATTTATTTATTTTTGGAAAAGACTTTCAGAGTTTCGGCACATATCAGGCATAGCTTGGGACATTAGCCTTATTTTTGGCAAAGTGCTTTGGGAAAAGCAATGTGAAATTATTATCAGAATAAAACACATTAGACCCAGAAGGAATGTTACCATCTTGCTGAAGGCCAGGATAGGGTTTGCATTTCAGAAGCGATTTTGGATTTTGTGCCGTGTGATCTGCCATTTTGTGTATGACCAGACCCATGCCAATTAATGAAACTTTGTTTGTTTGTTCTGTCTCGTTACTAGGTAATAAAGAGGATGAGTTCAGGATGCCTTATCTCAGCCATCAGCAGCTTCCTGCTGGCATTCTTCCCATGGTCCCTGAGGTTGCACAGGCTGTAGGAGTTAATCAAGGACACCACACCAAAGAGTTCAACAGGGCAGCCCCCAATCCTGCCATGGCTACTGTGACAGCTATGATTGCTAGAGAGCTATTATACGGTGGCACTTCTCCTACCGCTGAGACCATTTTAAAAAACAGCTCCTCGGGCCATGTGCCCCACGGACCTCTCACTAGACCTTCCGAACAGTTGGACTACCTTTCCGGTGTTCAGGGAATCCAGGTAAATCAGTTGCAAGCAGCATAATTCAAGGTGTCTCTTCATAGGATTTGACTTGCTCAATAAAAACCTTGTTTCACAAAACCACATGGGGCGGGTACCAATTCATGCATGTCAGCCTTTAGCCTAAGACAGAAAATTTCCTATGCTTTTGGAGTTAATTGTTGAAAACCAGTATATTACATTTTTAAAAAATGGAATGTTTCCCAGCTAGTATAGAACTTGAAGGCTGTTCCTATGGTTTTTTTGTGCGTTGTCTTTTTAATTACTCAAAAAAACATAGCCCTGTCCATCAGACACTGCACTTAAATAACTTCTGTTCATCTCTGTATGGCTTGTGCCAGAGCCTCTTTGAAGAAGAAGAAGGCGGCTCATGCAGTTGAAGTGTATGTCTGAATTTCTACCTTGGAGACATATTTAGATTCAGCAAACATTTTGACTTGTTTTCCATTCTTACATGTGTACCAGTCAACATGATCAGGATATTTATGCAATTGACTTTTTCTGGGCTAGGCTCCCCTGCAGGTGAGAGCTTCCTCCAGTTTTAGAATGTTGCTGAGGAAGCAATCTCCTTGCATACAGGGAAGTCGCACACTCCTTGAGATGCTCCATAAAAGCCCTTCCTGGTGTACCGCTTTCCTACATTTAGAGGACCATTTTAACAAGTAGCAATTCACATGAGTAGAGTGAAAGTTTAGCCCACCTCCAGTTCTCCATCACATGCAGAACACCTGAAAGATAGATGAGGTTTTTCCTTTTCTTTTTTCTGTGTTTTGGAGTAGACAAGAACAGGGATCTTTTTCTGTCTGGGAGAAGCTCCTGCTTGTTACCATATCAATGTTGCAGCGCTAATGAGAGTTCTGAGTAGCAAATAAGAGCTTGCTTAGAGGGTTGGGGGACACCTGTTTGGAAATAATTCAAACTTTCTTTTTCTTAGGTTGAATACAAAGATTTCCCCAAAAACAACAAGAACGAATTTGTGTCTCTTATAAATTGTTCCGCTCAGCCGCCACTGATCAGCCATGGAATTGGAAAAGATGTTGAATCTTGCCACGATATGGTAAGAGAACGTGGAGCTGATTTTATATAAATGAATTGTGGACCAGTCATTAACTTCCTCCAATGTGATCACTTAAACATTCAGATGGATGGAAGTGTAGATTAGGCATCTTCATGTTTTTTCTCCTTGGGTCCAAGAGAAACCCATTGGAGTGATGACAAATGTTGACTAATGGAGGACAGATTGTGTCTGTTGCTGCTCTACTTGAGGGAGCCAGTGTGAATTATGAACCAGCACACTTTCCCATTAAACAACAGTATATCTTCACTGAGCCAGCTGCTTTTAAACTCTCTGAGATGCACCATCCTGGTAGATTTCACTGCTCAAATATCTTATGCTGCTGTGTCTTACAAAAGAGAAACCTACAGTGGTGCAAAGATTTTTGTCGTAGAAGCCTTGACTTCAGTCCTAGTTTCAGAGTTCGGAGTTGGCCAGGACTTTAGGCTACATACAGGGCATTCTTCCCACGCTGAGCCCTAGTTCTTACATATACAAACCTAACTTGCCCAGTTTGTCCATGAGAAATGATCTTCATTCTGTGCAGCTTGGAAATGGGAAAATGGCAAGTCTGCTAATTGAGGCCACGGAAATCCTGTATGGAACTAATCCTTTTCATTTCTGTGTGCATGACCAACTTTAGCAGAGTGTTGAGTGTTTTTAATACACACATTGCCCAGTATTCTTCCAGCCATTTATCATAACATGCATCCCTTATTTATTTATGAGCATTGATAAACCACCTAACATTTCAAAAATATCCCAAGTGGCATACAGTCTAAATAAAAAGAAGAAATCATTGAAACAAAAATACAACCTAAAAGTAGTAATATAAAAGCTTAATTCAGTGACTTCAGACACGTAAAACATCCATGTTATATTTAATTCAATCTTTTCCTTCTCCAGGCTGCATTAAACATCTTAAAATTGCTGTCTGAGTTGGACCAACAAAGTACAGAGATGCCAAGAACAGGAAATGGACCAATGTCTGTGTGAGTGAAAATGATCTTTTCTAGCGTTTACCTCCTTTTTTACTAAACAAAAAACAAAAACCCAGCCACAACATTCTAACTGTTTCACAGAAATATCATTTGCCTTTAGAGAAGTATTTGTTTACATGGAGAGTTATAAAAAACAACCTTGTATCACATTGGCAGATGAGTGGGAGAGCAGGTTTATGCCCAGCCGTTGTCCATTTAGTATCACACAGCTAGTCTAGTTTCAGTTTCTTCCAACAACATGTCCTGTCGTTCATGTTTCTTTGAGGTTTTGAATGTGTTGCTGTAAGCAGAACATCATTAACTGTACCCATTCTCAGGGCGTGCTTTGCAGAGTTGTCTTAAATAAATAATAACTAAATAATTGTTTTTATTCATACCCCAGCCAGAGCAGCTAACACCAATAAAATTACAATAAAACATAAGGGGTAGGGACAAACAACCCCCCCCCCAAAAAAACCCCAGTTTATTAAAATACGGGTTAAAATACAATTTAAAATGCAGCCTCATTTTAATAGTAGCCCATAAATCAAAACCATAAGGGGAGGGAAACATAAGAGTCAGACTGAGTCCAAACCTGCGGAAAGATGTCAAGTCCCGCAGGGCCCTAGCCTCTTGTGACAGAGCGTTCCACCAAGTCGGGGCCAGTACTGAAAAGGCCCTGGCCCATAGTTGAGACCGATCTAACCACCTTGCGGCTTGGGACCTCCAAAGTGTTGTTATTTGTGGACCTTAAGGTCCTCCGCAGGGCATACCAGGAGAGGCGGTCCCATAGGTACGAGGGTCCTAGTCTTAAGATAGCGGAGCAGATTCCTCTTGCCACCACTAGCTTAATTGCATTACTGGCAGCGCATTTAAAGTCAATGGATAAATGCGACAGTGGGAGTTTGCTATTTCAAAGGAAATGTGCCTCTTGGCATGAGTTTGAAAGAGCCACAATTCTGGCTGAGAGATCCATAATCCCAAGCGTGGTTCCTTTTTTGGGGGGGGAAACAAAACCTTTTTCCTTTTTTTCCTAGATGCGTGAAGCAAGAAATGGAAAACGACCCTCTCCTCAAACCGGCTAGCTCAAACACTTTGGGACAAACACTGGACACCACTGCCTAAAAAAGGCTTGACTGGACCCAAACCTTGAAAGCACCAGAGAAAATCAAATGCTTCCTAATTAATGTAACCTAACTGTTTTAGAGCGCTACAGTTGTCACAATCCACTGTAGTATCTAAATCATAACCGTTGCTTTTCAAACAGTGATAAAATTTTTAGTTTCATTACATTGTTTTGAATGACACTATAAATTTTTCATTTAAGAAGAAGAGAAAAGTTTCTTAATTGTACCTAGAAATATAGCACAGTTTAGAAACTTTTGTTGTCTGATAACACTTACCTATGAACTAACTTGGGAAGATCATATCCATGTATATGTTTGGTCTTTTGTTTTTAATGAAATTGTAAAAAAATTTCACTGGAAACAACTGTGTGCCTGCCATTTGATTGAAAACAAAGCCGGCTAGGCAAATCTAGCCTAATTATTGAACGGTTGAATAAATTACACATTTTAGGAATTTTAAAACTTCATTTGATCATTTTGATTTCTAGAATATTGGGGGGGGGGGACTTGAATGCAGCAGAAGTTTAAATGGTCTCTAATCTTTGTTTTTTAAAAAAATTGTGTGTGTGTGTCTATATATAAAGGCACACAAACTCAGTACAGTACAGGATATGATCTCAATGTAGTGCATATAAAACTGCAGATTGATTTTCCTTGAGTGCTTTATACTGTTTAATTACATCTCCATGTAGGGCTGAAAAAAATTACCTATGTTTATATATAAACTGTGTTGCTTTTGATGTTGTGTTTATTGCACACAGTGGTGTGTGCAATAAAGTTTTTGCATATGGTCCAGGTAAAGCACGATAGCCTTGCAAGTTAAGTACTGCTTCAGTTCATTGTTTACGCTGGAATTTTTTCTCCCCATGGAATGTAAGTAAAACTTAGTGTTTGTCACCAATAAATGGTAAATACTAAAGTGGTGGGTTTCTTTGTTCCCCATGATATATTTATATATATTTGTTTCCTGTGCTAATATGAGCAAAGATGAAGGGCTAAACCTATAAAAGTTGGTCAGAAATCTCTTGACACAAATTGACCAAAAACTGAGGATATTCAGAATAATACTTCATATGGCAATTTCCCTGGCAGTTCCCCTTAGTGCTCAACATACTTTACATATGTGTTCTGGAGTCATTCCAACAATCCTGTAAGGTAGACCAGGGTTATTCTCCATATATAAAGGATTGGGAGGGTGTGTGTTAAGCTCATCCATGGTATTAACCGTTACATTAGTACGCTTGTGTCTTATAACCAGTATTACCTTCCCGGTCCACTGACTCCAGAATTTGCATGGAACTGTCTTAATGATTTTATTTCATAAGATTTATGTAACACTTGATTTTTAAAAAAGAAAAAAGAACCCAAATCTCAAAGCAGTTGTAACAACTGTATATGGGAAATCCCTTCTTGTACAACATTATTTGTATTTTTCACTGTTTCTTCAGAGTTTTAGATCTAAGGTTTAGCTTCCAATTAATGCTGGGAATCCATCTTTTTGTAGCCTGACTCTGATTCACTAAGGCTAAGTTAAGTGCTCCTAATTCTAAGTTCCTTCAAGGGTATTTTCAGGGTATATTCAATCAAAGGTTAGGCTTATTTTTTCCATAGTTATGAGCATTTCCCTTTATCAGCAGGGTGTGCCTGAGTTGAGTGATGTACAGATAGTATCTTTATATACCCGGTTCTCCTGAATCTCCTTTTACTGTAATGGGACCTATACAAAATTCACTGAAATGAGTAGGGAAGGCAGCGGCATTTGGTAGGTTGAATCATCTCAAGGCTATTACAGAATGGCTTTTTGGATACTATTTTTGTTGTTTATGCCATTTCCCCAGAATCTTAATGGTCTTCTACTTGGCAAAAGTGAATTTTTACATTAGTTTAGATAATTTGGGTGTGCTATTTTCTTTTAATGTACTTTGTTCACACAATCCACTTCTTCCGTACAGGTGTGGGTAGGGGAGAAGATAACCTTAATGACCACATAAGAATACTCTTACTGTTCTTGCACAGTTGTAAATAATATTCTGAGTTTGTAGCTCCTCAGTTTCTATACACATAACTGGTTTTCTGATACTTCCCACAGAGCAGCAAAACATCCCTGATGCCACCCATTAATGTTTTCCTTACATGTGACCTTTTAAAAAATATGTTCAATTAAGCTCCAGTGTTACATTGCAAGCTTTGTAACTCTCTGACCATCTGTGTGCATGTGATCTGCATCATATCTTTTGACTGGCCAATACCAAGAGATACCAAATATCTCTTGACTGGCCGATGTCTTGGGACATGTTTCTATCCTACATCAGGGGAGTGGGACCTGTTAACACTCCAGATATTGTAGGACTCAACAGCCCCAGCTCACTTGCGAATGATCAGCTTGCTTCATGTCAATTTTTCTCCAGTGTCAGGATAGAGTTGGAAGGGACCATGAGGGTCACCTAGTGGTGCAGTGCAGGAATCTTGCCCAATGTGGGCCGCGAACGTATGACCCTAAGATTAAGAGTCTCATGCTCTACCAGTTGAGCTATCAGAGCAATTACATGTCTTGAATGGGGTTGGTTGTGTTGGAACACAAGATGAAGGGAGATGCATTGTGGGAAGTTGGAAGAACAGATAAACAAGGTGGAAAACACATAACTGTTTTATTTACATAGGCTTAGTTTCTTGAGCAAGGGCAATAACATCCCACGAACATGTTCTGCCTGACTTGCTAGGAATGTGTAGCTGTTGTTAGAAATCCCCGTCTTCCGCATTCAATTCTACTTCCTAAAATAGTTGGCTGTATCCCTATTCCTTTCCGTTCTCCTATATAAAACGAACAGCTGGAAAATAGGTGACCCAAAAGTGTTATCATGGGGATTAATACAATACACAGTAATGCATACTTCAGATCCATTGTTACAGGCTGCCTCCAAGGCCGGCATCATTCTACTCAGATTATATCTCTGCAGTGATAGGGAGCTGAAAATGAGGTTTATCAAGTCTGTTTCCTGAAGAAAGATTCTGGTGTATACCTCAGAATATAATGGAAAGTCAAGTGAAACACCCCGAAATAAGAATGGATGAAATATTGTGGAGGAGGGAAATCTCTTATTTTCCGTCAACGCTTAAAATGTTTCTACCTGCTGTATCATTTGATCTTTCTGAACACTGAATGTTGAAAGAGATTCTCCAGCAATTGTTCAATAGCCAAAGGCATAAATGCTCACAAAGAGAGCCCTTGCATGTACGTTACCTGTGCAAAACCAGAATATTCCAGTGAATCTTGAATGCCAAACTCTGATTTCATCTGTCCTTTTTGCCTGCATTTAGAATCGGAAATCTTGCTATCGAAGCTGTGATACAAAAGGACAACACTTTTCATCCTTTTCACCTTCCAGCCGCTTAATGGTGATAGTTTATTTAGCTTTTTGTGGAATACATTTGTCCAGTCCCAGGACTTTTTGAATAAGAACTTGAACATCCCAAGGAAGGAGACTGAGGAAGAGAGAGAAGGAAAATTTGCAGCTTTGTTTAAAAGCATCTCTGTAATATTGGGAGCACAAATAACAAGTCTCATTCCCACTCTGACCATAGCACTTATTTCAGGGTTGCAGAACCTGTCACTCCCCCAGATATTGCTGGAGGCTGACTCTCCATCATCCTCAGGTAGTATGGCCAGTGGTTGGAAGTTAGAAGTCCAACATTGGTCAGGCCACAGGTTCCCTATCATGACTAGCTGGATGTTTCTCCTTTGCCACAGCTGGCAATGGGGCCTATTGCCATAGCATCACCAGGTAGGGCAATGATGTGGTAGGGTCCCCACAGGACTCACTAGAAGGCAGAAGGGCTTAGCATATACAGTGGTGCCTCGCAAGACGAAAAGAATCCGTTCCGCGAGTCTCTTCGTCTTGCGGTTTTTTCGTCTTGCGAAGCAAGCCCATTAGCGGCTTAGCGGATCAGCTGATAAGCGGCTTAGCGGATCAGCTGATAAGCGGCTTAGCGGATCAGCTGATAAGCGGCTTAGCGGATCAGCTGATAAGCGGCTTAGCGGATCAGCTGATAAGCGGCTTAGCGGATCAGCTGATAAGCGGCTTAGCGGCTTGGGAAAAAGGGGGGGGAGGAAAAAAACCCTGCAGGAACTCGCAAGACATTTTCGTCTTGCGAAGCAAGCCCATAGGAAATTCGTTTTGCGAAGCACCTCCAAAACGGAAAACCCTTTCGTCTAGCGGGTTTTCCGTCTTGCGAGGCATTCGTCTTGCGGGGCACCACTGTAGGTCTATTGCAGGGGGGAATAGTGTTTATGAGAACACTGAGTTACAGATAAACTATTACGTTCTTCAAACTTGCCATGAATGTGTGACATTTTGGTTGGGTATAGTAAAGTTATTGCCCAACTATGGTTTTGTCATTCTGTTCTTATGATGAACCAATGGAGCTACCTTTTAGCTTTTTATGTGTTGTATCCAACTATTTGTCTTTATATCTGCTTTGGCCTCCCTCCCACAACATGTTTGGAACGTTGCAGAATCGGGCCCTTTGGGGTGCTGCTATGAAATACAGGGTGAGTCTTTTAAAAGAGGCCCTGTAGAACATGTGAACTCTGTATCCACAGGGCCTCTTTTAAAGGACTCACCCTGTACATAGCGTTGAACTACGCTTCTAGTGAGCAGAAAGGATTTACCCAGTTATCACCCAATCCATAAATAGAAACCAAAGTGGGTGGTTAGTGAGTCAGATGTGAAAAGGGACTTTCTTAAACTCGGACATTTTTCAACATGGAATGAATTACTACCAACAATAAACGTTTTCCACCAGAGTCTTCTTGTGTCTGAATTAGTAATGTTTCAGTGTGCATCCCCTCCACATGAAAACTCTCCATCTTGGCTCTGGAGGAGAAGGGAGAGGACAGAGGGTGAAGAAAGAGTTGTGGGTGGAGGGGGCTCTCTTCCCATCCTTTGGACCCCCTGGGAAACTCAAGAAACCTTCTGCACTTGGAACTGCGTGTGGAGTGTGCAGGTGAATAGAACACATCTGTGAGCAGCCCTGAGGAAGGACCCATCCACCTGGAGCCTGCCCATAAAAAGCAAGTCTAAAGTGTGAGACTCTGGTGATATGATGTCTGCTGCTTCCAGGAGCTCGGGAGACTTGTGAATGAACTGAGAGTTTGTTTGGACCTTGGGTGAGAACTCAGGAGACTGAGAGGGACAGTGTGTCAGAAGGAGAATGAATTGATACTGATTTATATATACATATTAGTAACTGTTAGTGTAACATTTTTATAGGTTACTGATACTGCCCTTGGTCCAACCAAAAGGCTACAGGATGGTCAATGAGGGCAAGGCAAGTGGGCTATGGCACTGAGGTCTGGCCTGACTCCTTGCTCATTAAACACTGCTTTAGCCTTTATTGGCTACAGTAAACTCAACGCTAATTTTTCCACCCCCCTACCCCTATTAAGCAGTCATAGGTCTGCCAGTTCCTGAATACAGTGACTTACTTTTTTAAAATGGCCACAAGGTACAGCATTCTGGGGACGTAGATCACATGCTGATTCTGAAGTATTCTGTGCATTGCTGATTTCACAAACTGGTCTGGCCTTAAGGGAGAAAGTAGGGCTTCCAGTTCTTGCCTAGAAAAAGAAAAAATGCATGTTGAGGGAAAGGAAGCAGTGTCAACCTTTGTGTGGAAAGACGGTGAGCATTGCTCAGTTCTGCTGCTCAAAACAAATTCCTGAGTGCAGAATTCTTTCTCAATGTGTTTCTTTTGGTCCAGGCTCTCGTTTGTGGATCTCAGGATTTAGGTTAAAAAGCAAGGTAGATCCTGCAAGGCTGAAGTCTGTCAACTGGTCCAGATCACTGATATTAATTGTGGGTGGGTGTGATTCTGTTTTGCTTTGCTCTCTTGTGTAATCTAGCCCTTTCTTGGAAACCAAGCCATGGGGCCCACCCTAAGCTAAAAACCTTTTGATTTTCCATCCTCGCAGACGAACCACTGTCCCTATTAACAATGTTCCAGGTTAATACTTTGCAGCAACCACTTCAGACAGGCTAAAAACATTATTAATTGCAGAAATGCATGAATCGTTGAACCAGAGTGGAGTCGCTGTAACGAAGTCTAAATATGGATCTGCTGATTCTGTTCTATATAAGGTGAGTTCAAGGTATCGTTACGGCTCGGCGGACCCTGTCATTAATCATGTGAACAATATATTCCCCTGCAAGTATTAAGCAGCTAAGGGATGAGTCAGTAATCCATGGGAACAATTCAAGTTAAGTAAGTGGACATCTCTCCATTCCTTCTTTCTCTGTGTCAGGCGCCACACTGAATAGTATTAAAGCGTGGGAAGGTGGTAATCACTCTTCTCCAGCTATGTACGGTAGTTCTAGAACAGGGGTGAGGAAGCTTTTTTTAAACCAAGGGATGCATCTTCTCATGGGTATCATGCCAAAAATATTGGGCAGAGGCGGGCGTAGGAAGGGGTGGGTGGGGAATGCGGCGCACCCCAGGTGTCATCCTTGGGGGTGACAAAATGGCACACCGTGGGGGTCGGCACTTACCATGGGGCCTGGCCTGCAGCGCGCCTGAGCCATGCGTCTCTTCTGTGAGTGATGCTTGGGGCCCCGTGCTGCCCGAAACGGCAGTGTGGGGCTTGCATCCACCAGGCGGACTCTGTGGACAGCTCGCCACACCACCCCCCTGGGCAGATCGCCATGGGGCACCCGTGCATGGATTGCCATGGCACCCCCTGTGAGGCGCCCCCATGCATGGATCACCCCGCCCCTGCCGCTCCGGGTGCCAGAGCAGCTTAGCTATGCCCCTGGGCAGAGAGCCAGTGTGGTGTAGTGGTTAAGAGTGGTAGACTCGTAATCTGGTGAACCGGGTTCGCGTCCCCGCTCCTCCACATGCAGCTGCTGGGTGACCTTGGGCTAGTCATACTTCTTTGAAGTCTCTCAGCCCCACTCACCTTACAGAGTGTTGTGGGGGAGGAAGGGAAAGGAGAATGTTAGCCGCTTTGAGACTCCTTCGGGTAGTGATAAAGCGGGATATCAAATCCAAATTCTTCTACTTGTGCAATGGAGGTGACTCTTTGTTTGGTAAGTCACACAAAAGCCAGAGGTGAACACACACACACACACACACACACACACACACCTGGAAGACTGCATTCAACCCCCCAGGCCTACTGTTTGCCACTCCTGTTATAGATGAATATATACTAAATTTCAAAAGTTGACGATAGGAGGAGAATTTTGTGCTAGGGGATTTCGGTCTAGGGTAGAGTTCACCTCACTTCATGCCAGAGTTCTGGCCTGGGGGGATAAGAAGCCCCTCCCCTGATGGCATCATGTCCTGATGATGCCCTGCTTGGTTACCAGAGGTGGTATTTTACGTAGGTTAAAGACTGGAATGTCCAAGAATGGAAGCTTGCAGCAAGTCTACATTTCCCTCTACTGCTCATTGAGAAATGAGTGGCTCTGAATCCATTCTGAACCTTTCAATGCGCTGTTGAAATGAATGGGTGGCCTTTAACTAACCATCCCATAAGTGCGAGGGCTTCCAATTTCTTGGTGTGTGACTCATGCCATCTCCAAAAAGGGTTGGGGGAACCCTTACAACAGATTAAGGGGGTGCACGGGGGGGGGGGGAGGACAGGGGCAGAATGTTCTGTTGTTCAGCTAAGTTTTACTAAGAGTAGGTGCACTCCTTGTACCAGGGATCAAGCTGGTGTGTGTGTGTTTTGAGTAGGAATCTGTGTGAGTGTCAACCAACCAACCAATCATTTTATTTGTACGCCAACTTTCAAAAGTCAAAATCATGCTCAAGGTGGCTTGCAACATATATAAAAATTAAACATAGCAAAAGACATAGCAAAGACATAAACATAGCAAAAGTAGTCATAAAAAGTGAACAAACAAAGCATCAAAATTGAGTCTGAGTGCAGCATTACCTGATTCTACAGCCATGGAACATGCCAGTGTCTGTGAAATATGGACAAACGAGGGTAGTCTTCACACCACTGACTCTTTTGGCTTTCAGCTCATGGCTCAGAGCTTCATGGAATCCAACCACGGCAAACTTGCTAGCGCAGTAACCCTGAGGAAACAAGCAACATTTCCCCATTTACATGCTTAACTTAGGGGCTCGACCACTGTTTTAGTAAGACCCTGCAATGAGAGAGATGCCCTGCGTCATTAGTGATGCTTGGTCTTGTGAACCGATGGATTATAGACATCTGCATTGGCTCCCAGTACATTTCCGAGCACAATTCAAAGTGTTGGTGCTGACCTTTAAAGCCCTAAATGGCCTGGGTCCTGTATACCTGAAGGAGCGTCTCCACCCCCATCTTTCAGCCTGGACACTGAGATCCAGCGCCGAGGGCCTTCTGGCAGTTCCCTCATTGCGAGAAGTGAGGTTACAGGGAACCAGACAGAGGGCCTTCTCGGTAGTGGCACCTGCCACGTGGAACACCCTCCCATCAGATGTCAAGGAAATAAGCAGCTATCCTATCTTTAAAAGACATCTGAAGGCAGCCCTGTTCAGGGAAGTTTTTAATATTTAATGCTGTACTGTTTTTAACATTTGATTGGGAGCCGCCCAAAGTGGCTGGGGAAAGTCAGCCAGATGGGCGGGGTATAAATAATAAATTATTATATTATTATAAATCATGCAAAATACAAAGAGGCAATTTAGCATTTGTGAACCATCAAGGTGTGGCTTACCAACCTCCAGACAACCTGTTGCAAAAAGTCCAAATGATCCTGCAACTGTCACAATGTGGCCGTGATCTCTCTCGATCATTTGTGGAAGAAAAGCCTTGACTGTCTGCAAAAAGGGATAAGAGAGTTTTGATTATACTCATGCTTCCTTTTTGTGTGTTCAGATTTGCAACGAGTAAGCAGCAGTTGTAATGTTTGAAGGCCTGCTTTGCAAAGGTACCAGCAGAATATAAGAACAAATCCGTTTAGTTTCTTTTATTATAAATATGTAAACACACACACACACACACACACACTCTACAACTGTCCTATTAAATATATCATTGTATACACAAGGGTAATATTTCTTAATTTTGACTTCTTCCAAGCTTAGCTCTTATTTATACCAACAATTATTTTTTTAAAGCTACATATATTTCATCAGTATTTTTTTATTTATTTTAGAAATAGAGATCAAAGTAGCTCCATTTTCTTTCTATAAACAGAAATCTGTTTAGTTTTTTACTGTTACAGGATACAATGTAGGTAAAATTATTGGCAGCTATTAGTAATAGTAGTAATAGTAATAGTAACAACAACAACAACAATTCATTATTTATACCTTTCCCATCTAGCTGGGTTCCCCCAGCCACTCTGGGCAGCTCCCAACAGAATATTAAAAACATGATAAAACATCAAACATTTAAAAACTTCCCTAAACAGGACTGTCTTCAGATGTCTTCTAAAAGTCAGAGAGCTGTTTATTTCAATTGACATCTGATGGGAGGCCCTTACACAGGGTGGAATGTTTGGTGTTTTAACGTGTTTTTGATATTTTGTTGGGAGCCACCCAGAGTGGTTGGGGAAACCCAGCCAGACCAGTGGGGTATAAATAACAAATTATTATTGTTATTTTATTTTCAAGTGGGCGGAGTTGAACAAACCCAAGCTTAATGCAGACAAGATGCAAACACTCTGGCTTGGGAGTGTCTGGAGGTTTCTGCCTGTTTTCCAAAGATGTTCTGACTAATTGTTCACCTAGAAAGAGGAGGAGCCACCACAACTTTGCTTTCATCCATGTATTTCCCAATTTCCCCTTTTCTTCTTCCAAGTAAGAAACATCAATGCCTGTTCAAAGTTCCTTCAGAAGTTTGAGTCTTAATGGCACATGTGACAAGGATAAAAGAGTATAACGAGATTAGTTTTCATTGCAATCCTCTTAAAATTGCCCTCCATTTGATTGTCTCTCCATCTTTTCAGGCTCTGCAAAGTAGGATTAATGAGAGCCAGGCCATGTTCTGCAAGACGGAACTGATAAGCTGCTTTTCAGAATTAGCTGCTGCAAAGCTACCCATCCACACTGTGTGAGTGAGCTGGGCGAACTTGATTGAATAATTACAAAATATAGCCCTTTGCATAACTCCTTGGTCATATCCGCACCATGACTTTAATGTACTCTCCTACCATTTGAACAGTCATGGCTCACCACCCTGCCAAGAACTGTAGTTTGTTAAGGGTGCTGAGACTTGCTAGGTGACCATCTCACAGAGTTAAAATTTCCAGCACCTGTAACAAACTGTAGTTCCCAGGTGTGTGTGTTTGTGAAGCAAGTCACGACACTTAAAGTGGTATAAGAGTGCTTTAAATGTGTAGTTGGGATAAGACACTTTATGTGCCAAACCGTATGACTACAGCATTGAGCTTGCCAAGCAAAGATCAGAAATTTTGAGAAGAATTCAACATAGCACTATGGTGTTCATTCCACCAGCACAAACATTTCAGCTTTCCAGATGGAATGATCCCCCCAACACCTCACATGTGCTGTTCTGGGGTTTTCTCCGACAACACCCCACAAAAGACAATTTTTGAGGGGCATCAGGATGGGGGGAGGGAGCCCTGTTGCACTAGTGGAAGTCCTTCCATGGGATTTTTTGTTGTGGTATCTGTTAAGAAGGCATCAGCCTTCTGCAGGGTTAAACTATTATTATAGATTTTAAAGCTGTTTCTAAGGCCAATGTTTAAATTCATTTATAATATTTTTAGTTGTATATTTCTATTAATTGATGTTATCATATGCTACATTGAATATTGTGATAGAAATATCGGAAATTTCATACTTGAAACATATAACCTTTGATATAACTAATGTCTTTTGAGCCACTTATACGTCATCATTTGCTGAGCAGCAAGAGGTGTACTGATCACAAAGAGTACACTGATCACAAAGTAAGGAAGAGAATGAAATTGCTTAAGCTAAAGATGAAAATAAGAATATTATTACACTGATGTTTCCCAAACTAATTAATCTGGATTCTAATGTACTAACACTGCCATTCCCAGCCACCATTAATCAAACATATTAGAAAGGCATGCCAATAATCTATGAACATCTATCACCATTGCCACAGTTGTATTTATGGTCTAATTAGCCAGTGCCATGGATACAGATGGATTGGGAGGAATACTTCCCCAGTCAAAGAATTGCTTCTATATGCATCTTCCAAAGGTGCAAAAAGGGGCACTCTCTTCTGCTCCCCATCCCCCGGTATTTTCACAGCTGACACAGATGCTCTCTGCATGGATGTTTTGCACTCCAGGTGGTTGCCTAGTTCATCTCCTCAGTTGGGCTATACTGACTGTCAAGAGCTGCAGGTTCACAATTCAGCCTTCCCTTAACTCAGGAGCCTGATTCCCGTTTCATAGGATACACACTTACCCAAAAGTGAGCATGGCAGTTAGTCCTCATGGTTCTTTCCAGCAGTTCGTCAGGACACTGTAAGATGGGCTTTCCAGCTACAATGCCAGCATTGTTGACCAGGATTGTGACATTGCCCACGTCCTTTCTCACATACTCGGCAACGCTATAGACTTCTTCCTTCCGGCCCACATCGCAAGTATAAATGTAAGCCTTCGCTCCCAGCTTGCGAACTTCCCTGGCTGCGTTTTCATTGCCTTCGGTATCTATATCCCACAAAACAAGTGTTGCTCCTCGTCGGGCAAATTCCAGTGCAAAAAACCTCCCAATGCCAGTTGGGCTGGCCGCACCTGTTATCAGGCAGATTTCATTAGCGACTCTTTTCTCTACAGGTTTCTTTACCCACCGAAGCAGAGCATGGATGATGTAGCCAAATACTTTAGCTGTAAGTATAAGAAAGCCTACAAGCACAGACATTGTCTCAGATCTCTGGGGAGACGGTAATAAGAATGGAAGCTCTGTAAGGCTAGTGCATTGAGAAGCCTTCAGACAATACAACCCAGACATGCTGTATTTATGGGGAAAGTAAGATTTAAGAGATTATAGCAACCACTACCACTAAGAAGGTGGAATTTGGACAACAATGAAGGTATTTCGTCAGTAATTCCCAAGTGGCAGGCTGGTACACGCTAGCATGTAATGAAAGTACTGCTAGTAGGATGTGATGGCAAAGAAATGGATTAAGAAACTAAAGTGGAGGAGACTCTTGAGTGTCCCATGGACTGCAAGAAGATCAAACCTATCCATTCTTAAGGAAATCAGCCCTGAGTGCTCACTGGAAGGACAGATCGTGAAGCTGAGGCTCCAATACTTTGGCCACCTCATGAGAAGAGAAGACTCCCTGGAAAAGACCCTGATGTTGGGAAAGATGGAAGGCACAAGGAGAAGGGGGCGACAGAGGACGAGATGGCTGGACAGTGTTCTCAAAGCTACCAGCATGAGTTTGACCAAACTGCGGGAGGCAGTGGGAGACAGGAGTGCCTGGCGTGCTCTGTTCCATGGGGTCATGAAGAGTCGGACACGACTAAACAACTAAACAACAACAACAAGAAGAAACTAAAGACTCCTATAAGAACAAAACAACAACAATGAGTCACTGTTGTGGCCACTCAGTCTCCACTGGAGGGGGACAACTTTGTCTAGTTATTCCATTGAGTATGATCGGCTTAGTCATGCTGGCCACATGACCTGGAAGCTGTACCCTCCCTCGGCCAATAAAGTGAGATGAGCACCGCAACCCCAGAGTCGGTCACGACTGGACCTAATGGTCAGGGGTCCCTTTACCTTTATGATCGGATCATTCAGTTGCATCCAGGAGTGGCTGCTGCTGTCCTTTGGGACTGACAGGTGAAAACCAGGAGCCCAACAGTAGGTGGAGCAACAGCCAATGTGAAGCACAGCCAACTAATTCTATTTTCGTTCCCATCTTCCTTCCTGCCAAGTTCTACAAGGGCAACACAGGAGAAGGAAGCTGAGAGTCAGTGCCTTATTCTGAATGGGGTTGCCATATTTCAAAAAGTGAAAATGCAGACACAAAAGTTGTGCAAAGGCACAAAAGTTCAGTGCAAAGGCATGGCAGAATTTCCTCTAAACTGTGTAGACACTTTAGCCTTTAAATCACATTTGAAACACATTATTTGCCTCAAAGAATTCTGGGCACTGAAGTTTACTCCTCACAGCAACCCTTAAAAAGCTATAGCTCATGGGGGGGGATGTACTTTGAATGTGTTTTAAAGGTATAACATGTACACAGCCTAAACTGTAAACTGCCCTGTGCGATCCTCGGGTGTTGGAAACTGCCTTATATCAAAAACTGTTGGTCCCCTCTGAGTCCAGTATCGCTGTCTGCTCTGGAAGTAACCCTTGAAGACCAGATGGGCATTTTCTACTACTTGCTACTTGATTCTTGAACTGGAGATGCTATTGACTGGACCTGGGACCTTCTACATGCAAAAGTATGACTTGCTGAGCTTTACAGATTAGTTAGCAGACTTCAGCCTTGAAGGATCTACCTTGTTTCTTACAACCAGTCCAGAAGGTGGCACTGACTGTTCCAAGATATCCTACACCCTCTAACTTTGGAACAAAAATATAATAATATCGCGTTGCCTATTTATACTTCATTGTAGCAATCAAGTATGACACAGCATACTAAATAAGCAATAATAATTATAACAATTCTCCATCTCCATCTCTATCCCCTCCAACATTTCTCCGATGAAAATAGGGATGTCCCATTCCATAATGATAATGTTACTATTTATACCCCACACATCTTACTAGGTTGCCCCAGCTTCCAACATATATAAAAACATTTTAAAAACTCCCTATATAGCATTGCCTTCAGACAGCTTGGGGGTTGGATAACTCCATTACCCTCCAAAATTATTCAAATGAAAATGAAAACAGGGACATCCTGAGGAAAATTGGGACATTCCGGGCTCAAATCAGAAAGCGGGATGGCTTCTCTAAACCAGGGATGTCCCTGGAAAAGAGGGACACTTGGATCTATCTATACACCTATATGGCATATTTATATGGGGTGTTTTTAAATCCCTGCCTAGGGCATAGTCTGCCCCTACCATTCTCGACCTATTCGCCAGCATCTGGGGGCGGGGGAGCGGGCAGGACTCCAAGCACATAGAAGCCACACCCCACGGGCTACTAAAGACTACATTTCCCAAAGTGCCTTGAAAAGAGCGTGTGCAGTGAGGCGCTATGGGCTATATAAGAGCCCACGGCGCGTTTCCTCCTCCTTTTCACATGCGGCTTCTGCGGAGGTAAGATGTCTTCTTGGGGAAGCGGTTGGGTGGTGGGGCTGGGGAATCCTCTGCCATCGGCTCCCTTCCTTGTTTATTACACGACGCGTGCTGGTTCGAGCTGTTCCTCAGAACCCCTTTAACCCCCTTCGCCCTATATTGACCGTTTTATTTTCTCGGTTAGGAAATCCGGGGCGGGGGCGGGTGGGAATGTTGCTTCGCATTTGAAGCTTTGAGTTTTGCAACCGCCGAGGGCTAACTTGTTGCAGAGGGGACGTTTCCTCGTTGTTTTTCCTTCTTAGGCAGGCGGGGTCCCGTCCCCCCGTCTTTCCTATGGGGCCAGTTCACTTGCATGCTCTTAAAAGCCCGATTTTATTTAATCGCCCCCCCCCCCCGCGTATCTCAACTTGCAGCCATACCGATCGGATCCTAACTGGTGCACATGATGACTTAAAACTTTTTTCCCCATCAGAGCGTCAGTGTTGATCTCTTTGCTGTTACAGCCAGAATCTGTCTGATGCACCAGTGTTTTAACAGCGAGAGGGGAGGGCGGTTGAGAGTCTCTTGAGCCCAATTCATGCAGTTTGCAAGAGCAAATCTCTCTCGGTTAATCTGACTGTGGTGGGTGTCTTTCCGTTTAGGGCGACGATGCCGCTAGGCATGTACAGAGCGAACTGCTGCAAAAAACGAGCTGGGCGCAAGGAGGCGATGGAGTCACCTGAAACCCGCACACGATCTGAATACACGTGTGAGTTTCCGCCTTCAATCCTATTTTTCATTGAGACACCGGCCACCAATGATATGTTAAAGGGTTTAAGTTTGTTAATATTCCACATACAAAAGGGTGAAGGCCGCGATTTCAGGAGTTAAACGTGTTGAACTCCACTAGACTTGCCTTTGAGTAATTGGACTAGGATTATACTACCTCTTACTCTAATGCAAATTCAGTAGCTTCTGCTGGCTGCCCTTTTAACAATGCATTTCTAGATGTTAATGTGGTACTAAGGGGTGTATTTTCGTGGTACGCACTGTGCTTTGAGCTAAGTTTTGCTTTGAGTAAACACCTTAAAATTCATAATAAAACTTAACTGAGCACACATGTGAGTGCCTGATCGTTGCCTATTTGTAATATTTTTAAAGGAAAGATTGTGATTTTTGTGTAACACTGTTTCTGTTACTAGAGCAGCACATGGGTCAAAAGTACCTTTCAATCAGGAATCAACTCAGTATGTTGGTTTGGCCTCTGAGAACAGGGTGCTGGACTAGGCTCGTTTTTGTAAACCCAAATTTGTGTATCTCTGCAGAATTAATACACAGCTTACAATATAGTAGTTATTGCTGTATTTTTGAACCCTCTGGCCATTGTGACTTGGTTAGGCAGCTTCATTGTCAAATTCATTTTTGTGCTGCACTCTCAGGCAGCTTTATGATAGGCTTAATTCCAGGGATGGCCATGTGGCCGGAAGATGCCATTCATTCAGTTGGGGGCACAGTTCTAACTTCCGTGCAATTTAAGCCTTCCTGTTGATAAAACATAAGATGCTTGAAAGTCCTTAAAACAGTAACTAGAAGTAGCCTTGCAGTTCTTGTGTGTGGCATCTGTCCCTTCCTTGCTATGGTCTCTAGCTGATGTTTGTGATGACCAACACTTTTTTCCCCATCAGAGCGACAGTGCTTGATTTGTTGCTGCTTTAGCCAGATCTTTGTCTGACGACATCAGCATAATCTATTTTTACAGCAGCCTGCCCCAGGTTCAAAAATAAATAAAATCACAAGTCTTTGGTTTTCTGTATCATTTTTAGGATCGGAGTGAGCCTGAAGTTGTAATCATTGAGGTGGGCCCATGCAGAAAAGATGGGTGACTTGAAATAAAACCTTGAAAGGAGGACATCTTGCTCTGATCCTACACAAGAAGCATGGAAGGTAGGGGCTTTGTATTTTCTTGTTCTGTTTAATTTAGAAAAGATAACCTTAGGAATCTTACGCATGTTGTTGTAGCAGGGAAGTTGTGTACACTCAATTCTGTTCTCCCCCACCCGTCATCTTTAATTTCTTAATTCCTACAACACCTCAGATGGCAAGTCATCAGGTATGACTAAGCAAGGACGTATGCTCTGTATTAAGACACATTTCCCCCATAACCCTTAAAGCAACCCTAAAGTTGGCCCGTATTAAAGCCAATTATTATTTATATCCCACTTTTCTCCCAGAAGAACTCAAATGAGACTTGCAAAAATTAAGCAAACACATCACACAGAAACCTAAAAAGCTGTAAAAGATAATAATTTAAAAAGTAGTTAAACTATAATACAATTAATCTGATGTAACGATGGGAGATTAATGACGTGTGGAAGTTAAGTGTACCTGGTATAAATTAAGCAGACTTGAATAAAAAAACACAGGACTGGTTCCCACTAAGGTGGTAAACCTTAGGCTTCAAGTGGGTCTTTACATCACTGCTTCTCAGTTTTCTGTACATGGAAAACTTAGAGGGGTGGTGAGGGCTAGTCTGGAGGTCTTCCTGAAAGCCTCATTTTCTGTATGCAGGGACTAAATAGCACAAGGAAGCCCATGATCATGCGAGGCCACTTCAGGATATCATTCAGCCACAGATGGATCCCAGTGCAAAGCGAGCATCTGTGTATTGGATTAAACCGTCAGCCGCACATTCTGCGCAATCTTTGCAGGGTTGTACAAAATAGAACTTGGAAATCCTATTTTGAGTTTAGGTATTCCCCTGAAGTATGCATACCACTACAGGCTCTGGTGTTGCAAGTGAAGTCAGAAGGCCCGTTCATACGCAGTTTTATGCTCATGTTGACTCAGTCGTATGTGAGCCTATCCCCAAAGGCCTTGAGGCTTATGCACTCCCCTCCCATCTTGCGTGACACCCTGCTGCCCTGAAGTATGTGTTCGTTTGAAAATTCACTGGTGCAATACAAAGCAAAATTTTCCCTTTCTTTACTATGCTCCCTGTTTCTTTTTTCAGACTGGCAGGGACTGTATGTCAGACTGAATGCTTGGGAGGATGGCAAGGGAAATTGTGAAGTCTTCCAAGTGCTGTAAGTTTTGTAAGACCAAAATGGCCATTTAGAAGATTGTGGCAGGGTGCTCACATGGCGTGCTATTCAGTGGTACATGATGACTTAATCTTTTTCCCCCATCTTATCGGCAATGCTGATAAAACATGCGTTATAGCCAGATGGTCTGATTCCACTGATGTCCAAATCTTGCATTGCATGCTTTTGTATTGCACTTCGAAGACAGAAGCCTAATGTAAATATTACTTGGTGCTACTATAAATGCACACTGCTTGCTGGATTTTCATGATGATGGGAGCAGGAGGGTTGTGGGTAATGAGAAGGTGCAGGCAACTTTCCCAAGACTGCTGACCTCTTGATTCTTTGGTTTATTATGTAACTGGTACAGGAGGGTAGATTTGAGATCTACCTACCTAGTGTAACGCGGGACGTGGGTGGCGCTGTGGGTAAAAGCCTCAGCGCCTAGGGCTTGCCGATCGCATGGTCGGCGGTTCGAATCCCCGCGGCGGGGTGCGCTCCCATCGCTCGGTCCCAGCGCCTGCCAACCTAGCAGTTCGAAAGCACCCCCAGGTGCAAGTAGATAAATAGGGACCGCTTACTAGCGGGAAGGTAAACAGCGTTTTCGTGTGTGCTGCACTGGCTCGCCAGATGCAGCTTGTCACGCTGGCCACATGACCCGGAAGTGTCTGCGGACAGCGCTGGCTCCCGGCCTCTAGAGTGAGATGAGCGCACAACCCTAGAGTCTGGCAAGACTGGCCCGTACGGGCAGGGGTACCTTTACCTTTTTACCTAGTGTAACGTACATACCTATTGAATGGTTATTGCACTTGTGTGAATAGATGGATAAATGCTTTCCTTGCCCTTGAATAGATGGCTACTCTTATAAAACAGTTCAAATTTCTGCAACAACTGTTTTCTGCTGTAAGAGCTAATGTAAGAGCAGCCTTTATTTGTCGAGCCCTTTTAACTACTGTTTTGGCTTCAGGGCAGATTTAAGAGCCCCTGAGAAGAAGATATGATTTGTTGTTGTTTAGTCATGTCCGACTCTTCGTGACCCCATAGACCAGAGCACGCCAGGCACATCTGTCTTCTGCCTCCCGCAGTTTGGTCAAACTCATGTTCATAGCTTCAAGAACACTGTCCAACCATCTCGTCCTCTGTCGTCCCCTTCTCCTTGTGCCCTCCATCTTTCCCAACATCAGGGTCTTTTCCAGGGAGTCTTCTCTTCTCATGAGGTGGCCAAAGTATTGGAACCTCAGCTTCATAGCCATCTTCAAATATTTTAAGGGCTGTCATGGAGGAAGAAGCCTGGTTGTTTTGGGGTGCAAAGCAGCTGCTCTTTGTCATGTAAGCCAGGAAGCCTTTTTTGCTGTTGTCGCAAGCATTCATTAATAACTAGAATAAAATGGTCATGCCCTCAAGCAGAAGGAAGACATAAGTTAGTAACACGAGTGGCTTTGTTGGCACATGAGCATGGTAATTAACTTATTCCTACCTGCTGTCGATGGGTGGCTAAGCCTTCTCTGTTTCTTTCAACAGGCGCAAGGGTTCCTGGTTACTGCCCAATGGATGGCTTGAAGCAGAACGGCTGAGACTTGAAGGAGAAATCATTTCAGTGTCCCATGAGTGTTGCTGTACAATAAATGCATGGTTTTGCACCGTGGCAAATTAAAAAGCAGTTTTGAGTTTTCAATGTTGGCACGGGGTAACTTTCTCCTCTCCTTCCCCAGGAACATTCCTCAGTTTGCAGGGCTTGTCCTGACGCTGTTTCACCAGGGATTGCCATCATTTGGAGAAGGGGCAGTTGGGGGAAAGGCTACAGCTGTATGGGAAAGTGCATATTTTAGTGTGCGTAACAACCCAGGTTTTATAGCTGTTATATATATTAAATACTTTTCCTGTTAAAAAGTATGTTAGGTGCAGAAGCCTTATGGGGCAGTCAGTCTTATAGTTGTATATGTTCAGTGCTTTATCAGCACTGTTCCCATTCATTTAAGTCAGGCATAGGCAAACTCGGCCCTCCAGATGTTTTGGGACTACAATTCCCATCATCCCTGACCACTGGTCCTGTTAGCTAGGGATGATGGGAGTTGTAGTCCCAAAACATCTGGAGGGCCAAGTTTGCCTATGCCTGATTTCAGTGTTTGGGTGCAACTCTTGCATAGCTAACAGGTAAAGAGTATTGTGGAAGGGAATGTCCTAGGAAGGACCCCACAATTCCATATAGGTCACCGTTGGTTCTTAACTTCTTGTGTGATCACCATAGGTGACTAGGAATTCCATCCAGGGGATGGAATGGTCAGCTAGGTAGATGGAGGGCTATCCTGATGGCAGCCCATTGCATGCCTGATGGCTGTCGAGGAGGAGAAACTCCATCCTGTGTGTTGAGCTTAGGTGCCCCGTTTTGGTAGGCTAGGAACTTAACGGGACTGATTTTACAAAAAAAGAACTTTAGTAAGTTGTCTGTCTTCCAAAACTGGAATGATTCCACACACTTGTGATTCTTAATTGGGATCCCTGAGGGGACATTGTTCCCACAAAGGTCTTTTGGGGGAAGAATGTGTTGCTGCTTTGGGACTCTTGTATATGAAACTTCCCTGTCTGTATAGCAAATAGCATTGAAGTCTGCATTGACCTTGCCAGGAAAAGCTGGGAGCTTGTCTGCTGTAGTTGGGGGAATGTTTTGAGCTCAGGTAAGAGCAGGCCGGGGACGCGGGTGGCGCTGTGGGTAAAAGCCTCAGCGCCTAGGGCTTGCTGATTGAAAGGTCAGCGGTTCGAATCCCCGCGGCGGGGTGCGCTCCCGTTGCTCGGTCCCAGCGCCTGCCAACCTAGCAGTTCGAAAGCACCCCCGGATGCAAGTAGATAAATAGGGACCGCTTACTAGCGGGAAGGTAAACTGTTTCCGTGTGCGGCTCTGGCCCGCCAGAGCAGCTTGTCACGCTGGCCACGTGACCCGGAAGCGTCTCCGGACAGCGCTGGCCCCCGGCCTATAGAGTGAGATGGGCGCACAACCCCAGAGTCTGTCAAGACTGGCCTGTACGGGCAGGGGTACCTTTACCTTTACCTTTTTAAGAGCAGGCCAGGAGGGAAAGCCTCGCCAGATGTTTTGGCAGCTGGTAGACCGGTGTAGAGGGCTCTGGGAATAAACAAGCTAGGAGCTTATGTTGGAAATGCAAAGAAACTGAAGGAACGTTCTTTCACCTCTGGTGGACTTGCCCTAAGGTTAAGGCTTTCTGGGAAATGATTTATAATGAGCTGAAAAAGGTATTTAAGTATACCTTTCCTAAGAAACCAGAGGCCCTGCTTTTGGGCATTGTCGGCCAGAAGGTGTTAAGGAAGGACTACACATTTTTTATGTATGCAACAACAGCAGCAAGGATACTGATAGCTAAACACTGGAAAACTCAAGACTTGCCCATGCTGGAAGAATGGCAGATGCAACTGATAGACTATATGGAACTAGCAGAAATGACTGGCAGAATCCGCGACCTGGGAGAGGAAGCAGTGGAAGAGGATTGGAAGAAATTCAAGGACTACTTACAAAAACATAGTAAATTGTATGAGTGTTAAGATGATGCAAGAGTAAAAATAAATGTGGCATCAGTAAGTTAGTTGATAAGAATTTGAGAATAGGTGAAATTTGAGAAAAAGTTAATTTTTTGGTTAATATGCCTAATTAAGTATTCAAGCTTTTGGAAAATAAACTTACATTTAGAGACATAATATGGGGAAAATACAAATAAGAAATTGAAACAAGGTGATAATTTGCTGTTTAGAATTTTACAAACCTGGAAAGCAGGAATGGAAGATGTGAGGAAGTCCAAAAGTGAGGAAAGTATGAACATTAAGAATTTGGATTTGATGTTATAATTTTGTTTTTTCTTTTCCCCCCTCTTTTTTGTATGGCTTTTTTTCTGTTATTTCTTTTTTGTTTGTTTATTGTATTGTTGGGGATGGGATTATATGTGTTGGGTGATAAATGTAAAAAACCTTGAATAAATATTTTAAAAAAAACAACAAGCTAGGAGCTTAATTGTCTTCCATAAGCTCACTTGACAGTCCAAATGGTGCCTTTTATCACAATCTGCCATGCTTAATGTAGTATAGGGAGGACATCTGTACATCAAAATCACATTCCTCCTAAGGGGAGGCTAGTCACTTGTATTGCTGTATTTAACTTGTGCTCAGATCAGCCCTGCAAGGCACCTCCTTTTTTTAACCATTTGACATGAGACACTGATGTGTGTTTCACCAATCAGGTTTGGGTTCAGTTGTTGTTATATACCCACATCTTGAAATTTATGGCATTTGGGTGCCAAGTTTCCCCAGGACTTGGGAAAAGCATTTTGTCTCTAATTGGCTCTGGGCCAATAGATACCAATCTTGATTCTCCTACAAGCAATCTGATTGCTATGGTGTTTACCCAGTTAGAGAATGCGTCCAATTGGAAAGACTCCAAAGGATCACCTCTGATAGGATGGCAAGGGAAAGTTTGGGATCTGGCTTTTATCCAGTCTGTAAATAGCAGTGGTGTTAATGTAAGACCTCCAGCCACTCAAGCTTGCTTATGGAGATTCATGTCATGGATAGTTGAAGCCTTGATTATGTATTTAGTTATTTAACAATGTCCCCACTCAATTTTTCTTTTTATGTGTGATTGATACAAGCGTGCAACACATCACAGGTTTTGTTGGAACTGATCAATGCTATTTTGCCACAAAATCAATAAAACATTCTACAGGGAGAGAAGAGACTAGCTGAATGTACAAAGGTAAAATTCACATTCATTGCAGTGCCCACGTTTGCCTTTGATAGGGATGCGGGTGGCGCTGTGGGTTAAACCACAGAGCCTAGGACTTGCCGATCAGAAGGTCAGCGGTTCAAATCCCTGCGATGGGGTGAGCTCCCGTTGCTCTGTCCCTGCTCCTGCCAACCTAGCAGTTTGAAAGCATGTCAAAGTGCAAGTGGATAAATAGGTACTGCTCCATGGAATTGGCGGAAATGACTGGCAGAATCCGAGACCAGGGAGAAGAGTCGGTGGAAGAAGATTGGAAAAAATTTAAAGTATATTTACAGAAATATTGTAAAATTAATGAATGTTAGAAGGATGCTGGAATGAAGTTACATGGTTTTAGCAGAAATGTTATGAAGAATTAAGTAAAAATAGATTGTTAATGGGCCAAAGTGTAAAATTTAAGGTCAGATTGTGTTAAGATAAATTATAGAACAAAAATTGAGAAAGATGGAAAGGATTTGCTGAAATAGCTAATTGAACTAGAATACAAAAAAGGGAGGTGTGAGGAGGTTGACGAAACAAGTAAATGAAAGATAACGATACGGAAATACTGGATGTGTTTTTAAATGTTTTTGTTTTTTTATTGTTCTGTATTGTTTTTTGCCTTTTCTTCTTTTTTTCTTCTTTGATGTATTGTAAGGTATTGTTTTGTTTTGTTTAACTTTTTACTGTTTCTTCTTTCTTTTTTTCCCCTGTAACTATTAAATCTTTAATAAATATCATTTGAAGGAAAAAAAAAGGTACCACTCCAGCAGGAAGGTAAACGGCGTTTCCGTGCGCTGCTCTGGTTCACCAGAAGCGGCTTAGACATGCTAGCTGTATGACCCGGAAAGCTGTACGCCGGCTCCCTCGGCCAATAAAGCAAGATGAGCGCTGCAACCCTAGAGTCGGTCACGACTGGACCTAATGGTCAGTGGTCCCTTTACCTTTATTGATATGTTCCCCCTCCCCCCCAAAAAAAATTGCCCAGAAGAAAATGCAGCGCTTGGATTGAAAAAGGTTCCTCCACCCCTGACCTAGATTGTGATCGCCTTGCAAAGGTAATGCTGGTTTTTCTGTGAAGGACAGAAAGATTGTTACTTCGGCTGTCCACAAATTTGACTTAAAAATGTTGCTGCATCTGTTACCCTCTTTGTTGGCAGGTGGTTGCAAAGTGTAAGCACACAGCTGAAAAGTGGAAGAAATATTGATGGAATCCAAACTTCTGATGGCCTTTAAAATGCAGCCTTGTTAATTCTGTGCCCGCTAGTCAGCGCATATTGAATAAGCCTCGGCATGGTTATTATTTAGGGTAATTGCATTCTGAGGGGCTGCTGCAATATTCAAATCTCAATGGCAGGGGGAGGCGGGTGCAGAACATGTTTGCCCTTGGCCCTGTGTGTTAGATAAGGTGTCAAAAAAAAGAGGCTCACTAAAGCTCTTTCCAATTATGTGGATTGATTATTTTTTCCCTCATTAGCAACTGCAGTAGAAGTAACTGAAGTCTCCCAATTAAACAAGGTAATATTTACCATTTGCAGCAGTATGAGCCTCTCCAGTCAAACTAATGGTGCATAGGACAGCTGTAATTATTTGAAGTCAACTGGGCAGGTGCAAATTGTTATTTGTGGCGCGGCAGGAGTGAGAGAACTAAGGTGCATGGGAAGATGGATGTAGCAATTCACATGTTCTCTAGGGTTGCCAACTAACCAGAAAAATAGCATCGCAGCCTGCTCTGTTTTATAGAAGTTTGACCCCAAGAAATTAGGCAGCTGAAATTGAATGGCATCAGTATATTTTATTTTTACTTACACATGCCTGCAGATGAAACACCTGTTAAAGGCCCAGGGATGTTGGGGCAATATAAAAGCCGGCAACTGTAGCATCTGTACAAGGTTACAGGGAACCAGGCAGAAGGC